GGTGTAACATTGTAACAAATTTACCATGATTACATTTAACAGAAATCACATAAAAAAATCACAGTCGCAAACAGAGATTAAAAATGGTATAGTATACTATATTATCAATACCGTATTGGTTATATATTGGTTGACTGGATTTCGTTTAATATTTTGTTTATTTAATTTATTATCGGATTTCATTAAACTAATAATTCGGAAACCAATAAACCAATTATGTTTATTATTATACTGTGTAAATAAATACATATATAAGCGGTGGTATTGTCGTTTTATGAATTTATGTTTTCTAATAATTGATAACATTTATAAAATATATATGATAGAGCACAAATTTCGTTACAATAGCACAATACAAAAAAATTGTTCATATGTGAACGCACCTTAATAATACATTCCTAAATTCCTCAATAATAATAGTTCAATACAAAAACATATAAACAGCATTACAGACAAATACTGTAAACATTACCAGTAACCAGTTACACCTGTAAAATAAACTACATGCATCTCACTCACTCATCTCACTAACACAAGTGCGAAAGGGGCAACCGATCGGAGTTATTAAAATTAGGCATAATTCAGAACTCACACATTTTAGTCCACTCATAAATACATAATCGTTACTGTCAAAATGACAGATCGCTACGTCATAGCTTATTTTACAATATACCATTTGACAATACAGGAATGACCTAATAGTATTATAGGTAATTTAAGTTTAGATATTCAAAAGAAAGTTAAATTCGAATTAGAAAACATAAATAAAAAGAACATTCGAGAAATCAGTTTGATTAGGATGTATTTAAAACCAATTGACATTGCAATTGAACACAGAATTGATGCCAATAAATTTGACCTTGCCGTCTCGTTCCTTTCTAAATTCCATTAATATTAGAGTGGCCTCATATTATCAGGTTCAGATCCGACGGTCAGTGCCGACGACGACATTTGATTGACTCAACGGTTGCTATGTCCCGCACTCTTTAGAAAAATACGCGGATCCATCGAACGGTTGTACGGGTCGTCAGTTCTGAAATTGATAATGTGAACCCACTCTAACTAAAGCGAGAAATATTGGTTTTCTATTGTAATTAATAGAGATTATTAGCGGTTTTTGAATATACTTTTACCTATAGAAAGCTTCATTATTAACAAGTAATATAATAAGACTTATTTCACTTAACAAAATAGCTGGTACTGGCCCGTACGATATCAGTGCTTGAAAGTAATGTCCCTAGGTTAAGTTAGCTTTTAAGGTACCCGCCCTAAGAGGCTTATAATCCAGCTACCCGGGGGTTGTTGCCCCGGAGTTGATGCTTGGTTAAAGGGGCCTCGAGGCCCCAACCTTCACCCCCCTAGGGGGAAGTACAGATAACCAGTGTCAGTATCGGCTTCAATTCTGTGTTACCAGTGTAATTAGAATTTTATTTTAATTCTTCTTGTTATAATAAATTATTTGATAGTAAATATGTCATAAATACAATTGGCATTTTAAATTTTATAATCTGTTTTCTAGTAACCTGTTTGCTTGTATAATAATTATTACAAAACTTTAGAATATACAAAAAAAGACCTCTATTTTGCAATATAGTATAACCACAACCATTTGGTATATTATGCTAAAATTCACGTATAATTTAAATCAAGTCTAGAGCGACACGGAAAAAATAATTAATGTTCTGGACACGAGCAAAACACTTCTCATTTGTGCTTAAGACCACAAAACAAAAGTGAAAACTTAATCTAGGCGAGGTTTAAATAGCAGTGACGCGTTGACTATATCTCTCTCGCTCCCACAGTCGATTTGAGCCGATCATACGATACTATTTCAGTCTCATACGATACCCACAAAATAAAGTCCTCACGCCTAAAGAAGCTTTCACTTCAAGAATTGTACCCATGGCTTATTGGCCCTGATGATATTCTTTATCAAATGAAAAATAATTTATTCTTGTAAAACATTTTAGACGCTTATGATTGTCAAGTTTTTTGTATTAATATTTTTTCCCCTACCAGTTCAGTATACCTACAAAGTCGATTAAGCAGAACTGGCGAGAAACTCAATTTTTATTTATAGTCAGTATATTTATATATTTAATATTAAGAGCATAAGGCGGTACATTAGTTACCTTGAATAAATGTATTTTGTTGTTAATATCCAATATATAAGTTGACGATCATGTGGTGCAGCTCTAAACTTGACTGAAAATATTTCAATAGATTTTTTTATTGAGAATGTATTATAAATTTTCTTATTTATTTTAAACCAGTAAAAGTATTTATAAAAATAATTTATTGCTAATATTTTATTAAAGATGTATTAAGCGACAACTAGGACTTGCTGTATTTTAAGACAATCTGGAGCATAAGACCGTTTCTCGAATTGACCCGACTTAAACCTTATTGTATAGTGTAATAAAGTATAAAATTAAACGATTACTTATATCGTTCCTCCAATACGCTTACATAAACTATTGAGGCAAAGACGTTACGATGGGCGGTTTTATCGTTAAATAGCAATGGTTTTCAGACCTTTAAATGTTAGTATATTATTTAAAAAAATACTAATATCTTTTTGGATCTAAACAAAATATATTCTATGGATTGTGAAATAAGGATTGAAATCGTGGTTATAACATTTGCTAAATAAATTTGCATATAATACTAATATTACTTATAAAGAGGGAGTGGAATTTTATGAGAAGAAATCTCTGGAACTACTGCACCGATATCAGATTTTTTTTCTATGTTTGTAAGATACATTATATCTTTTAAGGGGTTGCTTTAAACGATAAGGCCGCCTTTTGTTTAGCGCATTAATGTAGTTTTTTTTTATATATATATTTTCTGTGCGCGATAAAGAGTTATATTATTATTATAGGCTATATATCTTATAAATATATACTAAACTCACAACTATATGAGTAACCGGACGAAGCAAGGTCGGGCCACTAGTAGTGAATAAAAGTCATATAACATATGAAATATACCAATGATAGACTGGTTTTAATTACCAAATAAACAGTGAACTTTGTGAACCTACAGATCGATCGTAGTATTCCAGTGGTTCTCAATCCCAACCGGTGATCGGCGGGAATCAAATTAAATAGGGTTTAGATACAAATCTATAAATTTATAGTTACGGTATTATAGTCACGTAAAATTGAGCAGTGTTCGATGCAGAATTACTCGGCTTGAAAAAATAATGTAAAGTCAAAATCCTTGTTAAATAACACTGATATATATATACTAAGCTTAATATATACATATACTATTTGATTAATTAATATCTATATTATATGTCATGCATTAAATTATATTTTTAATTTTTAGTAATTTTTATTATATGATAGAATAAGGCGATCTTATTGCTTAATACAATAATTTATTTCGTGTTTTAGATAAAGTTTGAGAACCTATGGTCTATAACATCATATCGAATGTTATCACTAAACGTTAGGTAATTATATAAATATTTTTACTGGAATAAAACAAAAGATATAAAAAAAATGATTGGGAAATGTCAAATGTGGTAAATGGCTGTTGAGAACGTAAAGACACAAACATACTTAACTCTAGAATATTCAAACATAAATGTACTTTATGACACAGTTTGCTCTTAGGAATACATTCTGGAAATTTCGATTTAAAAAAAAACACCAAAAATAGCAACAGGGTATTTGACGACTATTTAAATATTTTATTGATATTATTAATATAGTTAAACGGGTTTTAACACGAATTATTTTATGGTAAATAAAATATCGTGAGAGGTAAATACCTCTATTTACCATAAAATTATTCGTGTTAATATTTAATAATGGGATATTATGTTTTTCAAAATCTGTATATGTACGCCAAAGTACTGTACTATTTATGAAGTAATTAACATTGTACAGTATTGTACACACTGTTTGTTGACCCAAATAAAAAAAACTACTATACCTCATAGTACATACTAGATTTGGTATTAAAATATAAACACCTCTTTTCATTTTAACTGAAACCATTTTCTGTCTTCAATATGATAATAAATATATAAATTACTTAAATATTCCGATGTAATAAATACAATTATACCAAAAATTGGTATTCAAACAAATTGATATTAAAATAATGATCATATAATCAACTCATGTATACTTCGGCTGATTTCCCATAAATACATAAAAGAAATTTACCTAAATACAAAAAAAAAATAAGAAAAATCTACATGTCAAATAAAATAAGTTTATTTTCATAAAATAAATACGAAAAAAAGAAAAATCAACATGTTAAATGAAACAGTCTGATTTTTATGATTTTGTCATCAAATCTCGATTATAATATCAATATAAACTTGTCTAAAATTACAGACTTTAATAACGGTACACTGTCACATGTGCGTACCATAGACTCAATGTGTTTCCAACATATCAAAGTTTAATAAATTATTTTTGTGAGCAGGTAGAGAATATTAGACTTCATTACTTGGCTTATTTAAAAAAAACAATAAGAAGTTTTGTAAGCGGGTACGTATTGTTTTTATTATTGGCTTATTCAATAAACAAAAATTGTTTTAAATAAGAAATTCCAAGAGCAGTCAAACACCCCATTTATAATGTTTTAAATAAACATTTCCACTTTCGTTTACAATTGTACACATAATATAAACGGGACAGTTACCATGATTATAAAGATGCCGATATTTCGACGCTGTTACAACACTACAGAATAATGACTGCATCGGAATATCGGAAACTATATCATGACAACATCGACAACTGTATTGATACATACTTGTTCCTTCAAATATCAGTTTTTTTTTAAATTTCATAGGAACTTAGTGAGAGAATTTATGTTTATATATATGTATATATTACAGGAGAGAACTCACAGACTCCTTAAATCTAGAACTCACCAGAGAGATTCGCTTATACACAACTATTATGTTTATAAGGCAAATGACACTATAGCGATGTTGCGACGTCGGTTGCGTTTGCTTGCTGTTCGATATCCTAGCCCGAACACATTTCCGAATGATCGTCCCATGCTGCCACCTGTAAATATAATATTATACTCTTTAATATCTATAGTAACATAATGTAATTAAATTGGCTATTAAAAAAGTTGTTCTTCTTGCCAGTTCTTCTCAATTGAATCTGTATACTGAACTTGACGGTAGGAAAAAAAAAATACAATAAAAATTACGATTACGGCTAAAATGCCCTATATGAATAAATTATTTTTATTTTTTAATAATAATAAATATATTATTTATTCATTTTTACACAATATCATTAATTTATAGGCCATAACATCTGTACTACCCTGTGTTACAGCTGTTAAATTCGACTTAATATCTCAGGGAAAAGTTGTACTCAAGAAAGCGTAGAGAGAGTAAAAAAATTGTAAGTCTTAAGACCGGAATATATGGAAAATATAGGAGGAGGCCTATGTCTCATCTGCGAACACAGTTACTGCTAAATAATATATGAATAATTAGTATCTGAGTAGTATTAACTAAGAAAAAAGACTAAAAGACATCTTTATAAATTTTAGGGCTGAATCTTCTCGATCAAATCTGCTTTCAAACAAAAAAATTATAGCCTATATTATATTCTAATGTAATAAAATTATAGCCTATATGTTAATCTAATGTATAAGTTATATTATTGCAAAGTTTCATCAAACTCCGTCCAGTAGTTTTTGCGTGAAATAGTAATAAACATCCATCCATACTTACAAACTTTCGCGTTTATAATATTAGTAAGGTGGGTAGAATCGCAAGGTAAATACGTGACATTATTAGAAAAGACTTCATTGAAAGGCTTACTTGACAGTCCCGACTGCAGTACCACTGGTTGGCGCAGCCCGCGCACACAAACTGAGCATCGCGGCGCCTGCAGCCCTGGCACAGCGGCGCCTCCGAGGCGTCGTCTCCGTCAGCGGCGGGCTCGCCCCCGTCGCCCCCCTCGCCCCCGTCGGGGGCCGCGTCGCCCCCCTCGTCGATCACGAGCCGGCCGGACCCCGAGCCGGACGGGGAGCCCGCCCCTGACGGGGACGACGCCGCGCTCTCTTCGTCATCCTAAACAAATCACATATAAATAAATAAATAACACGGAGCCATCGAACCCCACGGTAAGCAGAGCTTGTGTTATAGGTACAAGACATCTGATGTAAATACTTAGATCTTTTTTTTAATAGATAGATAATATAGGTACATAAAACACCCAGACTGATACAAACAATAGTACTCATGAGTGCAAATGTTTGCACCGTACAAGGAATCAAACCAGCGACCATCCGAAGTAAAATAAACAAGCCGTGAAATAAATACGTTGGATTCAAATATACTCAGCAAAATGTGAGTATATCAATGCATTTTCGATGATGTTCTCTTCCGTACGATCTCCCGTCCAATTCAAACAGAATCCCCGTTTGTATTGGATAAATTGAATTGGAAATTACGACGCGGGCCGTCGTAATTTCTAAATCTAAAGGTGCTAAAGTTCGAACTCCTATACTTCTATACCTCTTATGTGTTGCCATAACTGAGGACTTAGGTATTATCACTGCCAAGGTGCCACGTACCTCGGGCATGACAACCTCTTTGGTTGTTGCTGATCATGTGATGGTTCCCGGTTTCCTTCAACTGGACCGTAAGCTTGTATGCTGTATCGGCTACACATAAAAAAAAAAATGAACTCACCAGTTGTACAACCTCCTCAGATTTTTCAGGCTGAGGATCCGGTTGCGCGGGCTGCACCGGCGTAATCGTTATTTCACCACAGTTCTGTAACATTGTCACGTGTTGTAACGTTACATTGCATGTTACAGTATATGTTACACACGTTACTTTACCACAAGCATAGTCTAATTAAAGGCTTGCATAGACGATGTACAGTCCTAGAATTGTAAATACTATTTATTAATCATAAATATATAATATTAATAACTAACAATAAACAAATAGTCCTGGACAATTAATACAGCGCCATCTAGTCCTACAGTAACTAGACAACTGATATAAATACTTAGATTTTTTTTCGAACCATTCTAATGCTGTTGGCCGCAGCTGGCCTTTACAGCTTCAATGGACGATAGAGGGCGAGTGCAGATGGCACTCCAAATCCGCGGGAGGACTTATCGAGCTGAAGTTAACTCCCGCCAGATCATAAATACGTAGATATACTTTTTAGTAGTCTAGCGGTTTAGTACACCATCTTAGTTCTGATGGTACTCAAGTACTTCTATCAGATCTTTAGTACCTATAGCACAGTTCTGCTTCACTAGATGGCGCTATCTTGGGTTGTCATTATTGTTTTTATGAGCGATATTTCGCCGTTACAATAAGTACTAGGCTCTTGTCGATTGATATCAATGCAGTTTGCGATATTATCTGACTAAAATAGTCTGGCATCTAATTGTATTGTGCTAACTGTAGATTAAGCGTAACTTTAAGCGCTGTATATAGCGATTACATTGCTACACAGCGCGTAACAGTACATTGACCCACTAGTGGGACGTGCAAAGCAAATTTAAAACCTGATATTTTAAATGATAAATGTAGCGCCGTCTGTGCAAACCTTTAATAATACACAATTTACAGAAGCAATATTAAAGTAAGGTGTGGGTATATAAAAAATATTGTTCTGTTATTTACTTATATGTATACTCATTTTTGAAGTTTAATAACATATATTTCAGTATTACGTATTACTATAAAATATGGTATCTGAAATATATAGGAAACATTAATGATTAAGTAAATGGAGCTCAGATTCGCAGTACTGCCTTGTGAAACGCCATACTTTACTTAACTTTTGTTTATATAGAAACTGGCCGCATATACTGGAATATGGAAAGTGGTAACTGTATAGCGACATGAACATGGATATGATGGTATGACCCCCGCCTCTACATTGTCATTCCTGATGTCATTGTCATGACTGAGGTGGTAAGCTGAGGATATTCGAAGAATAAACTAAGGTGACGTGCTTAGCAAATTTACTGCGACTTGTTTTTGTTTCTCTCTGCTAAAATTTTTAGTTACACATCTCATAAAGCGAAATATCTTAGCAAATTTAGCGTTACGATATTACGCTTTTTGAGAATTTCAAGAAAGTTATTCAATCATGAATTTTACCCCTGGTTGTTATGTAATAGTGTCATATAGGTCGCAAAATGTAGATATACCTTACTTTAACATTCTGTGATATGTAATTATGAATGAGGTGGCATTTAATCTTTCAATGAGTATTGCCATTTTCAGTATATATAAAAAATACATGTCTTTATCAAATAAAGGGCTCAACAGTTTGCTTTGTAAATAGTTGAAGCTTGACAACTTAATATATGCAAATAAAGCTTCTAATTAAAATACTGGCCATTCAAGCTGCAATACACAAACCGTATAATGCAGTCTGAATATATAAGATTTGACTCCAACTTTTTAAAAAACAAAAATAAAACTTAGAAACTAAATTTTGAATTTGGAAGATCGAGGCCAATCAGCACACCAATTGAGTATTTTCTTGTACACATTGAAGTGGTACCTTGGCCTGACCGAAAGTTGGCAACGTTGGCGCGCTCTGTTTCCGTTCCGGCGAAGTGAGCAGTTTAGCCAACGTCGGCGAGTAACTCTGAGTCGCAGGGGACGCCTGCTGGAAGGTTGGCAACACCCATTCAAGCTAATTCAAAATTTGGAATGAAGTTGGCTGTCCTACGTAAGCGAGCATTTTTATAAGCAGCAGTACCATTTCAGTCAATGATGTCTTCATTCAGTTTTATACACAATTAAAAAATATATAATATACAGAATGTATTATCTGTAACTAGTCACGTTCATTGTCAAATAAATCCACTAAACTAGCACTGCCAATTAAAAACATCAATAATCTGTTATTCAATATGAGTGGGGAAAAATATAAAAAAAATGTACTAGTCGACTTTCTTGCCAGTTCCTCTCAACTAAAGTATCTAACCGAACTAGTAGAGCATAGTGATAAAAAAAATGTTGGCGTTCATAAGTGGCAGATGGTCGAAATGAAAGAATGATTTTGAATTTCCACATCTAAGTAACGTCGCTTCGCTCACGTAGGACAACAATCGCACAAGCTTAATTTATCGCTTCAATAAACACAATACAAATTCAAATGTGGAACACTATTAATGAAACTGAAAAAGAATGGTTCTAGAAGCTCAGTGATATTTAAATTTATTTTTTTTAATTACCTTCGTCAGTATGCCGTGGAGCAAAGAGTTTTGTGTTTGATTTGTGTCCTGACTGCTTGAAACTGGTAATAACGAGATTTCTGGATATGGCGGCGGCGGGGGTAGTCTAGTGTTAGGGGATGCCAGTCTTTCCGCCTGTTTGACTGGTATGTGAACTTCTTCGTGGCTCCTCTCCTGCCTCCGCCGCGGATGTCCACCTTCTGGCCTGATGTGGTGGTCAGGCCTGGGCATTTCGACAGGCCTGTTGGGTATCAGGCCGGTGTTAGCTTGCTGCATGTTGGCGAATTGGACAAGAACATCCTTGAACGAGAGGCCATTTGGCATACCGCCAGCTTGCATCTGTTGTAGGCGTTCTAACATAGCTTTTTGGTTCTGTAATATAAAAAAATATTTGTAGTCATCGAACTATGCCTTCTGTTAGAACGTGATAATCTCTTTGTTAGAAATTTAGAAAAAAAAATATATCTTTTTTATGTAAGGTATAATATGAGCCATTGAGTTGCCTGAAATAAATAAACAAAAATAGTTTACTAATCACGTTTGCAAACAGGACCATATTAAAAATCAATATCAATATTGACAAAGGTAAGTAGAACTGAATTTATTTTTAAAAATTTATTCATCTACATACATGTATCTAAAATATGCTAAAATTTATTTAAAATAAATATTTTCATATCCCTAGAACATTTGTATTCATGTGTGTGTATTATATAGTAATTATTTGCAAACATATATTACAACTTAATAGAATAGATAGAAATAATCTTTATTCAAATAAACTTAATTTTAAGCACTTCTGTGTAATCACATTTTTTATTACACATTATCTACAATTTATTCGGAATACAGTTTCAACCATGAAGAATGTGCAAGAAAGTTGCTTGTTGTTCAAAACATCTACGATTTTACATTTAAAAGTAACAATTCGTGTGAAATTGAGAACAATCTACCAAAAAACACGAATTCTTTAAAATCAGAGTAGATAATTGTAATTGCATTGCCATTTGATAATTGAAGTATATATAAGATATGGACGTATCGTTAAATATCCTGTTGCTAAAATAGATTAAAAAAATAAAAACCTACGCACCTCGGACGTTGACCGAATTTGTAGCAATGGAACGAATATACTAATTCTACATTCTATTTTCAAATTAATTAAATAGTCCCTACAATAATTGGCCATGAGCAAAGCGAGAATCCTTGTTTTGAATTAAAAAAAAAGAAGAAATGCTCAAGAAACAATATTAGTGGTTTAACTTTACAGCTAAACTAACTAAATTATTATTAAGTCAGATATAACGCGCGATAACTTTTTCTACAACCAAAAAAATCCGTGTGACCTTCAGATATATATTTTCGGTTAATATAATAGGTTTATTGACACCCTCAGTGACATAGAAGGTGAACTAGCTAATTATAATTATATTTAATTCATAATTATAATAATTTAACTCCGACACATACCTAAAGTGCCATAATAGTTACAGATTTGACTTTGTACAAAGTCGTATGCATCTATGTACTATAAAACTGACGCAAAGCAGTTTGCTTTGTAAGCTGTGTTCGAAACTAAAATATCTTTATTTATGTAGGTCTATTATACACATTTACGAACAAGTAAAAATGTAGTTTACAGTCGAGAATTGATAAGAAACTCTGCTCTTGTGCTCTTAATGTTTCATCGCAAAGACACTGAAATTTCAGTATACAGATGCACAGCTATTCAAATGTCCACATGCATAAACAAAACCTTTGAAAAATTTACATTTTATCTAGAGGAAATAAAAACTATCGCTCCTAAGAATATATTTCAATTCTTGTCTTTGACGGTACTACTTAGCGAATTCTAAAAATCACGGGTATATTAGACCGCCAAAGCTCGCAATGCTACAGGTATAAATGAAAAGAGCCGGTATTTATTTAAAAAAGGTATGTCATTGGGGTTACAATGTATTTCATGATTCCTGATGTTGCTCATGATAGCACGTCATCATGCTCGCGGCACCGTCATCCCATGCCAATCTAGAGGACTAAGATGTAATGTCCAATGCCCGCAAATTTCTAATTTTTCTATCGTATTATCACACTTTAATACAGTTTATATAACAAGATGGATGGATGAACTATTGGGAGACAATACTTCATCCACCAAGTGATCTTGTACAAAGATTATATAAAAAATAATTTGTAAATAAAATTATCATACCATATCTAAATTATTGAAGAGCATATTCAGGTTATTCAGGTTGTTCAGGTTATTTAGGTTGTTTAGGTTGTTTAGGTTGTTCAGATTGTTCAGATTGTTCAGATTGTTCAGATTGTTCATACCATCCATCTTCGGCGCTATAGGTCTCGGCGCGTTCATCATGTTCGGATTCAGAATAGACTTCATTCTCCTGCCCCTCCTTGGAGTCACATCTGGATTTCTTTGTCTGTAATCAGCTATTATTGATTTCACATCTTTAGTGGGACCTTGACGACCCATTGGCAAACCATAAGTGCCTGGGAGCTGCCCATTCATATCTCTAGGATACTGTGGCATTGGACCAGGCATCATCATCTGTGGTGGGAATATGGGTTTCGGCATGGGTTGCATATGAGCTGCTTTATCATATGGGGGTGGCAACCCTGCCATTGGATTGAAATGACTTGTTACTGGCATAACAGGAGCTTGAGCCAGCAACGGGTTAATGGTTGGACCTGGTTGCTTTATAGACAACCCCGAGATTTCATCACTTTTGTCAATGGCTAAATTCTTAGCTTGATTTAAATAGTCGAAAGGATCCGTTCTATCTGATCCATTAACATCAGCTGACTTTTCGAAGGACAACACCTGTTTTCGCCTTAAAAGTCGCAATAATATCTCTTCTTTTACTTTTTTTAGATGTAATATATTATTCCATTCCTGTTCTTTCTTTTGTGCTAATTCTCGTAACGTTTGGATTTCAGATAAAAGTTGTTCTGTATGGCGTTGGATTTCGTCTATATTGTTCTTTGTTGCAGTTTGTATGTAATCACTAATCATGATATCATGCTGTGGGAAAGTTTTTTCGACTTCCTGGCAAAGTTTTTTTAATGGGGATTCAGTCTCTACTTCTTGGCTTGAGCGTCTTTTCGTTGCTTGTTCCTCCTAAAAGAATTAATCCAAATTTTACTTGTAGAAAACTATATAAACTTCCAATAAGTCCCAGCAAGTCTAAGAATAAGTGATTGTATTAGTTGCCTGAATCATCAAAAGAATTCTGCCTGTTTCATACAACTAGTAAAACATGAATAAGTATTACCTTAGCTAAGTCACCATTAACAGGCTGTAATATTTTAGGCTCCACCTTTTCAATCTTCTCTTCGACCTTTGTAACTTTGGGGACCTCATTGGGAACTTCTGTCATCTCAACATCAGGCACTACAACTTCTTTTTCTGGAGCTTTAACCTCTTTTTTTGGTTCAGAAGCTATCTCCTTAGGCGGGCTTGATTCCTTCACTTGTATCTCAGGGGTAGTAGACTAAAATTAAATATCAAATATTCAATTTGCCATATTAATTTTTATAATACTTCAATAAAATTTGTTTTGATAAGAACCATGTCTATTGATTGATTGATATTTTGATTTGATTTCTACTTATTTTACTACATCATCATATTAACCTGTACCTACTGCTAGATATAAGCTTTACTGCAATATAACATATTATTATTCAACGTAAAAATGCATATTATATTGAAGTATATATTTGACCATACCATAAGGTGTCAAATCCCCCATATGCATGTTTTTTTGTGTATACAGTTTCAATAAATTGATAATTATGAAATTACAAATTCTATATTAAAATATTTTAATAACAATTTCAGTAATAGTGTCCCAGTCTAATCCTTTAATACCCTGAGTACGCCAAAGAGGCCATCCACATCTGGCCGAGACAAAAAACATGTGTCAATTTATATATATAACTGACTCTCCAGTGAAAGAAACACTAATATGAAACCAAATCAAAATAAACCTAAGGATAAGTATAACCATAGAATCACACTCTACCACATATATTATTCAAATACTTATTTAAAAAATATTTACCAAACAATTTTGGTAAATAAATAAATTATTATTATTATTAAATATGCCAAGCAAAATGTAACCATGTCAAGTATAGTGTTCATGACAACATCAACAGTCAACAATATCTCAAACTTTTTCGGGATAACAGTTGTGCAGAACACAAAACTTTATTGACCAAATTTATTGTAAGTTTGCTTAATAAAGTTTTATTATATAATTTATTTCTACTGAATATTGAAAATTTATATTCTGCATTTATCTCTAAAATTAATAGACAATAATTATACTTTTGGAACAACAGTTTCAGCAGCTTCTTTTATTTCTTTTATATCCGTTGCAACTGGTTCAGGAACCTCAACTGGCTGTACCGGATTACTTTCAGCTGCTTCAGGGACCACTTCAGGTTCATTGTGAACCGGTGCCACTTCCTGATTGTTCTCATTAACTACACTGCTACGGGAATTGCTATCCTCCTTCAAAACATCCTCTGGAATAAAATAAAGCGATGAAATAGTCCATTGTGGAACTTCATTATGCATTTTTTTTTTCGAAAAACATAAGAAACCAGTATAATTAATATGATATGTAAGATATGGGTAAATTTTCAGCTACCAAATTATGATCATGGCTGGAAACTTAACATATAAATAAACTCCCTTCATTGAAACTTAATAACTTACTATCATTTTAGCTATCACAATGTTTTGTAATTGTCATATATATGAAAATTTTTGAAAGCTAGTACAATTAGTTTAAATGTTTTGTCTTTATTCATATCATTTAAGAGGTTATTGTTTATGTATAAATTTAATAATAATAAAGTAGTAAATGCAATAGAAATTGAACAACAGCATGTTTGTTGGGATAAAAAAAAACATGAATATAACATTAAACTGTAATGTTGTCAACTTTAACTGCATAAAAAATAACCCATGAATTTAGTTATACAATTTTTCTTCAAATGGAATTTAGAATAATTTTTTCTATACTATAGTATTTTTATTATTATTATTATTATAGAATTAGTCTACAACTGCATTATTTAAAGTTTGAATTATTTTGTGAAGATCATACAAAAAACACATGATGAAAACATGACTGTACCTTTGACATCCTCTGAATTTATGGTAACACAATGTTCTTCATTTATATCACTTGACTTTTCTTCTTTGGCATTATCATCACAGACTTCAGCGTTTCCCGCCTTTTCTATATTTTCATCTGTCACCTGGTCCACGAGTGGGTCTTTCGTGCCCACTGCGGCGTCGTCTATCGCCAACGGATCCACTTCATTTTCACTACTCTGCTCCACTTTTGGAGACACATCAACCGCGGCCTGGTCCTTCAAAGATTCCTCTATTGTCACTCTTATATCGTTCATGTTTATTTACATATTTACGATTCGCGAGTCACTGGGTCACCACGCCGCGCGCAGGTTGAACGGCTCTCAAACTGCCATAGAAGACCGATAACCGCGACATTGAACCGGACACAGTTTATTACCACTCGTCAGAACCTTATCTAAGCACAATCGATGGTAATTAACCAGAATGTTTCGAATTTCTATCCCAAATTGGGTAATATCACAATGCGCAAGCAACTGCAGCCGTGAACTCAGGGGTCATTGTGACTAATTGAATAAAAATAAATATTCCCATAAATGTATTAATAATTATGAAATGTGCCACACTATATATACAAATATAGCATTAATACAAAACAATTTCGATATATTTTTGTTTAATATCTGATATAAAATTAATCAGATTTAAGAGGACGCAAATCACAAGCAAAACTGCGTGTGTTGCCATAAAAAAAATTAGGACCTAAACATTAAGTTATATATTGTACATCATGTAGTAGAATTTTCAGATGTTTCATTATTTTTTAAATTATTGCAGTTTTTGACAAGGATTTCGAAAAAGCACAGTTATTTATCATATTCATTACATTGGATATGATTTTAAACAGAAATTTAAATATACTGTAACCAATTTAATTACTATTTAACAAACATTTTGCAGGTGGCAACATTAACACTTACTGCGTTTTGTATTACGCAGATAAATATTTATTTGAAAATATAATGAATAAATGTGCATTCGTAATATTTTCGAATAATAGGAACAGACATGTTTTTAAATGTAAATATGGTAGTAATTATAACACAAAACTTTTAAGATAAACAAATATTGATGAATATAACGGCAATACTATTGTAATATTAATTGACATTTCGATCAAAGCGGTGTAAAGAAATATTATCGAAATAAATCTTCCGGCGGAAATTACCAATCAAAGTTTTTTTCAAACAATATTCATCATGATAAATATTTCATCCATAATTAAATATGGCAATACGAGTATAATTTCGCCATTGAAATTATACTCGTATGTCTTTTTTGTATTAAACATTATTGGTATATCAAATTTGACATTTATTCAAATTACCCGCGGTTACAATGTGCTATCATCCTATGATAAATAAATATATTCATAGTGATGCATTACTGTTATATCGATAATTTTAGTTAATACTAGGTGATACTAGCGAGACAGTAATATTTTGTATAGAGAAAGTAAATTTAGCGCCAAAATGGAATCTGGATTTCGGTTTCTATTTAAATGTTCACTAAAACTAATAAATATATTTTTTTAAATTTTTAAATAGTAAAAATATAAGTACTACTATAGTGTACTATTGGTAATGAGTTTATAAGCACTACTTGCAAAATTAAACAACGAGTCCCAAAATCATGTAATAGGCATTGATTTTCTATATTAAGCAAATGAGTGTTTCATCCTATAAATTCTCATAGTGGTTTCTTAATTGCAGTAAGTGGAATGTTTATTTTTATTATTATAAATAAATGTATTTCAAAAAATTTAAAAAAACTAATACTGTTTTTGAACATAATACTGAACAAATATAAAATAATTATTGAACGAAATTACAGTAATGACCGTAATTTCTATTATACTACACGTTTAATCACTATTCTGTTAAAAACTAAATTAATTTCCATTTAAGTAGACATTCAGTAGTTCAAATAAAACATATAGAAAGTTAGATTTGAAAGTACTCTCTAAAATTATTTTTTTAATATTCAATATTTTAAATATTTCTTCTTAGAAAGCCAAATGTTTTTTGGCTAAATTATACTGTTTTTTTAAACCATAAAAAACTGTAATTCATATTTAATAAGCAACAGTAATTTCAAATTTTGATATATTAACATAGAATAATATTTTTTATCGAATGTTAAATATCGATATTTAAATTGCTTTGTATGTAGTAGCAACACTAAACAAATGATGGAAAAAGCAAATGGCTGACTACTAAACGACGTTCTAGAAATCCTAACAAAAAGAATCCGATGTAATTACATGAAATATGCGCTCTTTATGATAATGATTAGCAAAATAAGATTATAAAGGATACAAAGAATTAAAGCATTTATATATTATAGGCAAAAAATCTGCCGAAAAGCTAAAAATTGTAAAACAAAACCTAAACCTAAGCTTGCACAATTCATTATTTTGCAAAGAAAATACTTATCAAGTGTGTGTTGGAGGCACGTCCGTCGATTTGTATGGTAAGTTCTTTATTTATTTCATTACGTAGTTGGTCCTATAACACTATTTGTAGTGGCTTTTGGACATTTTGTTCTGTCAAAAATGCAAGTAGGTAACTATCTAACTATGAAAATTTGTCGTCGTGTGATTTATTTTTAGATATTATTGCAACAAATTTCTATTTTGGTCTTATATTTTTCTAAATCTATAATCTTCCTTGTTTACTTTTCAAATTTATTTTTATAATGTATGCTGTCATAGTTAACGGTACAGTCAGCAAAAAAAGTTTAAATGTCATTGTAATACTACGATTATATTATTGATTTTTTTGTTTATTCTAGTTGATGTAATGTGAAGAGTTCAACTTAGGGCGGTGCACCCCGCCCTCGTGACCATGGATAGGGGCTACGAGAAGCGACACAGTAAGCACCACAAAGAGAAGCATAAGAAGCGCTCTCACAAAAAATACCGAAGCCACAGTGGTAACCATGAACAGTCGTATGCCACAGTGAATTCTGTTAAACCCCTGGTGGAGTATTCCGATGTTAGCTCAGAAGCGCTGTCGGCGCCAGAGGCAGGTGAGATTGAGAGTGAAGCTAGTTCAATAGGCCGACACGTTGCTGATGACTTGGACAGGACGAGGAAGACACATTCAATACGAACATTTGTTGACAATAAAACCATATCAGTGACAACAACAAGTCGTAGAGTAGCAGAGGAGTATGCACTTGCACGTGAATCATCAGCATCGAGGAAAAGACGTACGCTAGATTACGTGGACGGAGATCCTGAATTTGATGAGCACAGGTACAAAAAGAAGAAAGATAAACGAAAGAAGGAGAAGAAGAAGAAGAAAAAGAAGTCTAAGCACCAATCAAGGTCAGCTAGTCTGGAGAGTTTGTCACCGGATGACAATGTACCCACAGAGACCCCAGTCAGGCCTACTACTCCACAGAGGTACCAGGTGGTGCCACCAATATGTGAGTGGGAGAAAGGGTCGTCACCAATACCGAATGGGTCATGTTCACCAGTGTCGCCATCGACGCCGCCGCCGCGGGAGCGCCATGATGTGTCACCGCGACACCATTTGCCTGTACTGCAAGAACTACCAGCCAAACATAGAAATCCGATGCCTTTCTCTCCACATCGGGATAGATCTCCACATAGGTGAGTGTCCAATATTTACTGTATAAATTACAATCCTATTCATATTATTATTAAAGTTTGTTGTTGTTTTGTAATGGAAGGGTGCTTGCACTAATGGTTTACATTGGCAGGGCATCAGTGGAGGATGATAGCATGAACATGAGGTCAGGTCAGTTAGCCCATCGCAATTAATTCACTAGGAATTTATTATGATGGTTTCCAGGGGGAACCGCATGGAGGTTAACCTGGCATGGTACATTGCTAGTAATGGATTCATAAGTCCACGTTACTAACTATCCCTTTCCCCTATTAAAGTATGTTTGTGGATGGATATTTGTGACTCTTTCTACACTTACTGATGTAATATGTTATTTATATTATATAAAATTCTCTTGTAACAATGTTAGTTACCATACTTTTCTGAAATGGTATGACCCATTTTTATTAAATTTTATATGAATGTTCAGTAGATCTGAGAATCGGCTGCTATCTATTATTCACACCCTTTAGTGATAAGGTTTGCACACAACTAAAATTTTTTATTTATTTTAAGAGCATTATTATTTTTTATTTTTTTTTATGTGGCATTGGAAAATACATACAAACCTACATTTTCTCTCTTCTATCGCCAATCTCTATTTGTTAATAATGTTTAAACGGGGTCATAAATTTGGAATGGTGCACCAAATGCATTGGTGTTCTAACGGTATTCACTAACAAATCATTAGTGGACAATGAGACGGTTTTCAAATTAATTGCAAATTAACTCCAATGGTAACTTAGAAGACAATCATTTATCTATTACAAAATATAATTAGATATAATATAAATTAAACATTTCTGATGCAATATAGTTTTAAAAATAAAATTATATTGCATCAGTAATGTTTAAAATTAACTTAATATAATAAGGTACAAAAGCGCCAAGTGCAAGTTAAATATGAGTATTTCTTAAATCATGGTCACCATGGTAATATTGACGCCCTCAATAGTAACACCTTACTTCCGATGATCGCCGATTTGATTCTTGGACGTTACAAATATTTGTGTATTTACAAGCATTATTTATTATGTTTTCTATTTATAGATTACATATGTTTTACAAGAAATTAAGTCATTTTATCAATATTTCTGACGGTTGTTTAGTACTCACAGTACATGTTAGTAACAAACTTTACCTCTTTATAATATTAGACTAGATTTCTTAACATATTAAAGTAATAAACGAACTTACTTTCCCATTTATTATTAGTTACAATTATATAAATAGCGTAACACGAAATAGAACCCAGTAAAGTAAGTATGATAGTTTTTATATACTTGTTTCCTCAAACTCAAAATTATTTATTTATATAAGACCCTTTTGGCATATGCATGTATTTTTATTATTACTATCTTTACCAATATAATGCAACATACCTATGTATATATAACTAGCACACCCGGCCACGCGTTGCTGTGGCTAAGGTTAAATAATATTGCGACTATAAATTGAGATGCATCAATTTGCACAAAATGTACAAATCAAATTTCCAATCGGTTCAGTAGTTTAGGAGTCCATCGTGGACAAACAACGTGACACGTAATTTTTATATATGAAGATTTATAGAACAAGTCTATTGAAATGGGTCGTGGTGCAAGTCACTTAAAAATACTATATACGCTTTATCTTATCTTTTGTTTGTTTGTTAACAAATAACAAGAAAATGTATGTACCAAATGTTACATAGTGTTATAAAGTTTTTATTTAGATTCTATATGCATTAATATCCCATTGAAGTAATTTCCATTAGGGTATTTAATTATTATTATTTGTATATTTCTTATCTTACTAATACTATAAATACGAAAGTTTGTGAGTATGGATGGGTGTTTGTTACTCTTTCACGCAAAAATTACTAAAAGAATTTTGATAAAACTTTACAATAATATAGCTTATACATCAGATGAACACACAGACTCATATTTAAAAATAAATGTAAATTGGGCGACTCGATTTTCTTGTCTTGAGGCTGCTTTCCAAATTAGTGGTAGATAAAAAACGTGCAACTATTCAAAGGAGCTTAAATTTAATTTGATTTGAATATATATTATATCCATTTATGGTTTCGATTCCTCGCATGGTACAAAATTTTTATTTATGAGCATGATTGTTTTTATTTTTTTCCCCTTTTGTATCTTGCAATCGATTGTTTTTATGCGTGATTTTTATATATATTAAGTATGTATTTACAAAAAAAATTATATCACCTAGTATTTTGGAGCCATAACACAAGCTCTACTTAGCTGGGGACTAGATGGCACATATGAATTAACCTGTATTATATATTAAGTATGTATTAACAAAAATATCTATATGTATTTATATCAGTTGTCTAGAACCCATAACTCAAGCTCTGCTTAGTTTAGGACTAGATGGCGCTGTAGTTGTCCTGAGATATTGTTAATATTCTATTCTATAGTAGTGTTGCATATCGTACACTTAATAATAAATTGCATTGACCCAAAAGTACCTACATCACTTGAGGACTGTGGAGAGTATAGAATGGGGTCCTTCCTTAATTGAAAGCCTGCAAGTAATTGACGATGCATCGTCGGACCGTCCATATGTATGCATGTAATAAATATGAAACCGATCGTTGTCTTTACATGGAAGGTACACTTGAAATACTATTACTGACTAGCTGTGGCCGCGGTTTCACCCGCGGAAATTTATAGCCTATATGTCATTCTGATTTATAAGCTATATTACTGTAAAGTTTCATCAAAATCCATTCTGCAGTTTTTGAGTGAAAGAGTAACAAACATCCATCCATACTCACAAATATTCGCGTTTATAATATAATATTATAATAAGGTAATAATAGTCTCAGGAAAATTCACACAGCACCCAAGTTAAGCTAGCTAAAGCTTGTGTTACAAGTACTAGACAAGTAATACAAATATATAGTTTTTTTTCGGTAAATACTTACATAGTATGCATAATAAAACACCCAGAGCAATACAATCATACTCATGAATACAAATGTTTGTACCGTGCGAGGAATCGAACCTGCGACCATCGGAAGTAAGGCGGTGTGCTGAAACCGCTAGACCACCGAGGCCGTCGATTATTATTATGATATTATTAGGAGATTTCATCACCTTGATAATATCATAAATGCGAAAGTCACTCCGTCTGTCGCGCTTTCACGCCAAAACTACTGAACCAATTAAAATGACATTTGGTACACAGGTAGTCTAGACCCTAGGAAAGGACATAGACTACTTTTTTATGCGAAAAAAGGGTTGTAAGGGGCTGAAACGGGAGATGAACGGTTGTATGGATGTATCGTCATTTTTAAAGCTTGATGATGATGATAATCTTGAAACGTAGGCTGTTAATTAAATATAAATAAGTAAGACAATCAAATTTAGGAAAAAAAATACCCTTAAGAATAGTAAGTTTGTATGGAAATTCGTAATTTTTGAGGCTAACATCCAAAATGACGGAATTCCATACCTGGTACTTTTTTCTATAACTTTTTATTTGTAGCTTGAATAATAAAAATGCAATCCAAGGCCCAGTTAGTGTAATATAAACAAAAATAATGATTAATACAATTTTCGTTCTTTTGTATGTACGTTGGTCTAATAATCTCAAAAACGACTTCATGGATTTAAGTACCTTTCTCACTAATAATTTATTATGGTATGCTTAACTTATAATTTAATATCTGTATATACCATTCAGTAAAGAAACTTAAATTTTTGAAGTCAAGTAGATTATAAATTTTGTAGTCGACCGATTTTGGTGATTCATAGTAAATGTTCAACTGTATTGTACAGTAAATTTAATCTGTTCTTTCTGCATTTATATCTTAAAAATATACATATTGACCTTATGTTTCTTTGTTTCTTATGTCTGAAAGTGGATTGTGGTAAATACATTTTTAATATTTTGTTTATCTGTATATATTCAATTTTCTTTTGTTATATATTGTTGACTAGCTTTTGATAATTTAAGATTTTTGTGGCCGCCCATTAATCACACAAAATATCAATATAAAAACCATATTGTATGAAAAAATATAAAACTATCACGTATATATTTGTTGTTTTTCTCTTATTTTTTTTTAACACTGATCATTACATAGTCTAATTAAACTCGCGGTCGCTGTCTGTCTGTTCAAAATCTTTAAAATGAGGTCGCCTATTAACGTAGAGTCGCGCGAGTCGATCGAGTCTTATCGGAAATTTGTTGATGTCTTACTACTGGTATTGAATTAGATACTTCCATACAAATCAAATAAAAAATCATTTACTCATGTGGGACCTTTCACGAACGTCATTTTTTTGTATTCCTATTTTTTCCCTACCGTCCAGTTCAGCATACAGATTCAGTTGAGAACTGGCAAGAAACTCAACTGAATTTATTTTTTTAAAGCCGGTTTTTTTACGATATGTACATAGAAAATCGCATGAACAACTATTGCCAACACAATATTAGCTAGGAAGCTTGATTTATTAAATGCAGACGTTAATTCAATTTCTTGTGTTTAAAGCAGGAGGCGACAGAAGTCTACTACCCCCCATACGCCATCGGTGCCCCCGTACCACGACACGGTCACAATTGACTCCGACAACGATCAGGAATATGAGAGAGTTAGGAGGGATTACTGGCACGACCAGAGGATCCAATCGCCAATAATGGTGCCAGGTACGTAATACTAATTATATTCTCACTAGCTGTGCGCAGCGGTTTCATCTGCTGATTAGTTTAAAAGAAATTTACGTCCCAGCCCCGCTATTACTTGGCTTAATTGTATTTTCACAAGTTACGTACCGCGGTTTTACCTGCCGATTTATTTAAAAGAAATGACGGCAAAACGATTCCGCTATTACTCAGCTTACCTCGACTCCAAAAGGTGGTATAATGTTTAATAGCCATAATTAATAATCCAGGATGAGACATGTTAAGGTGATCCTGATAGGTCAATACACCTTATTGCTAACAGTGGGGTCATTAAAAACCTGTTAGACGTCTTCTAAACCTCCACTGGCCCTTATGGACGCTGGGTACGGTCCTCGAACATGTGCTTATTACCAGTGGTACTGCCGGGGTGAACCACCCTAGCATCGTTCATTTAAGCCTATGGACGAAGCTATAATTTTGCCGCCGGCTGAAGGAATTTAATTTGAAGGGAATTAGTGTCTCTCACCGGGCCGTCTTTGATCATCGCCCTATCGCGAATGACGTGATTCCACGATGGACTGTAAGTCTGAAGTGCGCCTGGACGCAACTTTTAAACGTATGTGAATGAATCAGATTCACCAATCCACGAGACGAGGACGCGAGAGTACAGCCCGCGGCGGTCTCATCGACGCAGCAGCCGCAGTCGCCGACACCGCAGCAGGGACAAGGAACGATACAGGGAAATCCGCGGCTCACACAGGTATGTATCCCACATCGTACACGTAAACAAATTCCAAATTTTTATTTATTTTTGATCCTCCTGATTGTCTAGCGGTTTAGCATGCTACCTTCCGATGGTCGTGGGTTCGTCTAGTCCCACAGCACATCAAGATTAAAGACATATTTGGGGTTTGTGTCGTACCAACATTTAAAAAAGATGATGTAAGATCGGTTTGGCATACCGCCATACTTCCGATTCGAGACATTCAAACAATACCTATGAATGCAAATGTTTGTACCGTGCGAGGAATCGAACCTAATCACATGCTGTGTCGTATTCCCCAGTGCCCCAACAAGTGCCCCAACATTTTTTCCCGCCTATTCTCAATAATATTTATTATCTGTCTCCTTTCTTTAACCGTTTCGTATTTCTTCGTTTATTATTTTATATTTCCAGCTAATTCTTTCCATCTTTCTCTAACACCACATTTCAAAGGCTTCCAGTTTGTCCCTTTACTTTTAAGTCAATGTTCACGTCTCACAGGCATACAGGTCTACTCCCGATGTAGGTCTCGATAAGTAATTTCCGAGAAAACCTATAAGTTAACAAAAATAAGTAAAATATATGTATGTATGTCTGTGTAGATCTCACAGCCGCAGTTCGTTGAAACGCCGCCGGTCGAGCTCGCGGTGTCGTCGCCGCGATTCGAGCGCGTCCCCGCCGCGACATCGCACGCGACATCGCGACGCGCGCGACGAACGCGACTCGCGCGACATGCGCGATCGTCACAGGTAACTATTGTCAAATATATCAGTGGCGTAGTTAGGTAACTTTAGCGCCCTTGGCTCTGGGGCAAATCAAAAGATGGGGCCCCAAGTATAACTTTCGAATTTCTTTCAACTGAGTTCCCATGATTAAAGTCGGGTTGCAATTTGTCATATTTTTCGAGAAATTCTGGTAAGGGTTCGAGGGTCCCCTGAGCTTGAGAGCCCGGAGCACTGCCCCGCCTAGCCCCTAGGTAGCTACGCCACTGATATATATTCCGGGATCTTTAATTCACTACTAGAAATATATAATTGGCGAAAAGCTTAATGCCATGTGATTTTCTCTACCAGCTAGCCATTATCAAGCAAGAAGAGAAAGCGGTTTATGGGCAGTGGTGGGAAAGAATAAATCTATAATTTAAATAAGTCTTCAAAAAGAGTTATATTTTATTTATTAATATTTTTTTCCTTTATATCTTACCATCGGCTCACGAATTAGCAGATTTGTTATGGGAATCTGTTGACGGGAGAGGACTGTACCTCCAGTGAGGAAAATATTTTATTTTACTGTTATTTTTTCTCATTAGTGAATAAAATTCCATACATGACGTCTTTTAAGCCTTCTGTATTTCATTGGCTCACATAATGCTGTTGCAAAGATGCGTATGCGCCTTTATATGATCTCTATATGCTTTTGTTCTGAGTACTACTTCTCTGACAGTTCTCATTTCTGTGTACTAATGCAATTCAGTTATTCTGATGAATAGAGGTGCAGCAGTTATAGTTTTGAGAGCTTTATTCTGAAATCATTGCAAAATCTCTTCATTGGAAGTCTTTGCTGATTCCCATAACTCAAACCACTTGTAAAGCCATAATAAAACCGATCTGGTTGTATGACCTATATGTATTTATTTATGTAACATTATTCACTTACGTAGCTGGGTAGGGACTATATGGGCGGTGGGGTCAGTGCAGCCAGCGATAGTGGTGAGATAAGACTCAATAGAATTAATATCATCTATACATGTAATAAAAATATAATTTATCGCTATCTGTACGTGGAAGAAGAGGAGAAAACTATAATTGGGGGTTTTGATAGACAGCAAAACTATTGTTACAATTTATCTGTTTGTTTGTGAGTTTGTGGGCGCTAAAATCAGAAACTGTACATCGATTTCAATACCTTTTTCTTCACTAATGTATTGTAGTTGTAGTATGCTTAAATAAATTTCGGTTTGTTTACCTCTAATCATTTCGCAAACAAAGCATTGATATTTATTGAGGTATCGATCTTTTGGCAGTCTTTTAACCGCCATGATCATGGGTAAATTAATCATAATATCAAAGGAATATGGATATAAAAAAAATATATTAAAAAATACATATTCTGCCAGCCAGTGGCACAAATTCAACATCAACATCATTCAATACATCCGCCTTCGCTTAGGTGTAATTATTATAAGGACATTATATCTTTTTTAATAAAATACGACCAATGGCCGTCAAAACTTAAAAATTATGTGCCAATTGATTCTGAGTTCACTTTGATTGACGGTCTGATGGAAGCATCAATATTATACGATAATTATTTTGAGAGACGGGCATAGGCTCGCCTATTACCACGCTGACGATACCTCTGACCGTCCCATTTCACCTAATAGTCGTAAACATATACTTTAAATTAATTGTGTCCGTTTTAAAAAAGAGTGAATCCCTACATCATCACATATACATATGTTAAATAATGTCACGTCTTATTTCTGCAGGAGTAGGCACGAATCTCCAAGCCCGCCAACAACGATGTTACAACGGAAGATAGATTTCAAAGAGAAAATCAGCGACACAAGTCTGTTTGCTGAACTGGTGAAAGACAAACATAAAAGAGCTAAGGTACCTTTACCATAGTAATAAGAACTAACGTAAAAAGACTATTTTTTAGTTCAACCTATTTGAGCCGGTAAGCATTCTGCTTAGTAAGCTGTTTTGTATTATGCAATCAGACAGTCCAATTGCAGGATGACATCTTAGCCCTTCGGAATGGCAACGTAACAGTGCTATCACGTGAGTCACATGATAACGTGATGTTCGTAGTGCTGTTCATGTATATAGGCGACGATTACCGCTTACCGTCAGGTGGTGGCAGACAAGCTGAGGTAGTTTGTTTGCAATTCCATTAAAAAAAGTAATGGTATACGATATTACCTCTGAACTGGAATTTATAGATTACACCCTAATAGAAACTGAATCTATGGCAGGGATGAGAAACACGCGGCCCGTTAAATATATTTATGCGGCCCGACAATAAAATCTGAAATTTAATTTATTTTAATCTTAATTATTATATTGCTGAAATATTAATTATAGTAAAACAGTAGTACATACTAAACCGAAACAATTTTTTTCTGATGAGTTACATTTACCAGCGACTTGTTCACACATGCAATACGGACGCGCCGCGTCTGTGCCAATTTTTATATTTCATTAAAATTATATAATGTATAAGAAATCTTTACTCTTACTTTAATTGTATTTTTTATATTCTAATGTTTATTATAAAGAAAGTTTTGTAAATTATTATTAAGCGTTATTTCATGTGAGGCCCGCCAAAAAAATTGTAAAATTTTAATTGGCCCGTTGATGAAAAAGGTTGCTCATCCCTGATCTATGATATTCATTCGGCTCACCGATGGTGTCATAACTATATAATCTTATTATATTTATAGAAGCTACAAGAGATCCTGAACCAGAAAGAGGAGGAGTCACTAGGTGCTATTTCCACAAGTACATCAATCAATAACCCCGAGGTGCTTACTATTGATGAACTCTCCAACGCCACAGCCGACAGTTCTACGCAGGTCAGTACCATCTACTTAGTATTAGGTATTTTGATGGTGTAGTGATTGAATTCAGTATCGTGTTTGGTTCGATCTTCACACAATACTAATTTAGTCATTAATTAGTAGATAGTAAATTAGTCATTATTAACACTTGAAGGCTGTGTGTAAACTGGATATGTTTAATAGTTCCAATAAAAGATTATTATATCTTTATAAACAAAAATTACTTGTCACGTTGTTTGTCCGCGATGTACTCCTAAATTACTAAATCGATTGCAAATTTGATTTGCACATTGTATGCAATTTGATCCAACTTGAAAGATAGCATAGCTTACATCTCAATTTATTTTAAATTACAGTCTCAATATTATTTTATTAAAGAACCTTATCCACAGAAACGCTTGGCCGGGTCTGATAGTTAAATACTAAAATACTATATTATATAAAAGTGTTTGTTAAAAAATAAAGTTAAATTCATGATCAACAGACATAATCTATTATTATTCCTTATACGCATATTAAGTTCCCGTAACTTGATCACGGCTAATTAACAATAGTTTTAATTTAATTATATTAGGCGTCAAGAGAGAACGGCGATAACAAAGAAGGCCAGGACGTGGTCGATATCCCGATGCCGATGCAGCACGAACCTGAGGGGACTCCGCAACCAAACCAACAGATACAACCTCCACTGCAACCTCTGCAACCGTTGCAACCATTGCAACCACCACCAGACTTCGACTGCATGGCTGCCGAGCCACTGCCTAACGCCAACGGAGACACAAGCAGCACCAACGGAGCTGAGGTGAGATCAGTTATATTGTTGACGGCCTCAGTGGTCTAGCGGTTTAGCACACCGCCTTACTTCCGATGGTCGCGGGTTCGATTCCTCGCACGGTGCACACATTTGTATTTATTAGTATGATTGTTTGTATCGGTCTAGCTGTTTTCTGCGTATATTATGTTTGTATTTACAAAAAAAATCCCAAGGTACATCCTAATGTTATATATACATTTATATCAGTTGTCTAGTTGTCTACCCATAACACAAGCTCTGCTTACTGTGGGATTAGATGGTGGTGTGTTAATCGTCCAGAGATATTTATTTATTGTTAACCGGTTCTTAACACGTATAATTTTATAGTGAATAAAGGTTTTTACCTCTCTCGACGTTCTGACTACATTACACTAGCCGTGGTCTCGAGCTGTCATAAAAATAACTAGGGTGTTATTACTGACATTCTTTGTAGTTTTATATTATTGTACCGGATGATTCTGTTTGTTCTTCAGAAATTAAAGTTTACATGAAAGCGATGCAATTTCTATTAAAACAAAAATTAAATGTTACATTTTTACATGTGTTAGGTACAAAAGTTTATTTCATTGACCCTCCTCGAAATAAACAGAATGATTGTTGTAGTAGTTGTAATAATTAGTGGTTGCCCAGTGGTCAAAAATTCGACCATAATTAATTTAACATTCAGTATGCCTTAATACATCACATTAAAGGCAATAATAGTATATTCTTAATTTGACCACAGACTTTATTAAATAAACAAAAGAGTTCATATGCATGTGTGTGAAATACGTGGTAGTGTATGTATTATTTTTTGTACTGATTTTATTCTTTGTGCCTAATATTTAAAAATATTTGCATTTTGGGCACTTTTATATATGCTAAAGTGTGCGAAATATCATACTCCTCTGTTCACGCAACGTTCGTAAAACTGGTACATTTTTGCTTTACATATTAATATATAGATGACCAAGCGAAGTCACATTTATCCTACTGGTGGGCTACTATTATCTAATTCTATTATTATGTACTTGATGTGTTCCGGAAATAAGAAAAGAAACATGTGTGGTAGGTGCCGGAGACGGTGCCGGGAGCAGGTGGTCCTCAGCCGCCGCCGCTGCCGAGGGTGGGCGGCAGCGTGGTGGAGGACGTGTACCTCAACTCGCAGCAGCCCGCGCCGCCCAAGCACCGCAGTCTCACCAAGCTGCCCATGCCGCCCAACACACAGGTACCACCACAATACATCCTTTCACCGAGACTCAGCGCCATCATGAAGCTCGTTTCGTCATCAAAAACATCTGTTAAACCATATTTGCTGAGCGAGGCCTATAACTCACTAAACAATAATAATAATATATTTATTTTTCTCCACAAAAACATACATAATATAAAGTGCTGCAGAACCTTTGAGGCATGTAAAATTCTATGCTAAAATACAGACTTGTGGAGAACTGGTGCCTGTGCTAGGTATCCAAAGAATCTGTCACTAAACAATTACTTGAATGATGAGCGTGCATGGCAATAGTTGTTCATGCACGCGTTTATTAATATTAGGCATAGACACCTATATAAATATATGTAGATTGTAAATACATTGGCTTTAAAAAAAAAATGTTTTTTTTTGCCAGTTATTCTCAATTGGATCTATATAGTGAACTGGATGGTAGGGAAAAAATTATAATATAAGAACATTTGACATTCATAAGCGGCTAAAATGGTTATATGAGTAAATTAATTTTGAATATAAAAATTCGTTCCAGACTTCATCAAAGCTGAAGACTGGCTTTGATGTAGTCAATTATTGATCCATTGAGTCCTTTAGTCCCGTATTAGTCCGATGGATTACGATTTGTGGTCAGTTTTAGAGATTATGGCTTGCTCTAAACCCCATTAGCAGGGAAGAGTTTGCCCATGGAATGACTATGTGCTTCTGTTTATAACTGACCACAACATTTCAAAGAACAGTTTTCCAGCCAATGGAGATCATTTCGAATAAGCTATATATTTTTCATGTTTTATATTAATTTTTAAAGTAACACACATTTAGTAATAAATTTTATCAACATCTGATATACAAAAAAATATGATTTTTCCTTGTAACAATACGCATGGCAAGACTTGGTATGTACATACTAGTTAAACTTGATAAATTCTGATACTAACCAAACCGAATGGCAAACTGAAAATTTAGTTTTATCGTGATAAACGATCCTTAATATTTTTAGTTTAATTGTTAATGTTTGGGTGATAGAATTTTAGCCGAGTCAGGTAGTATACATTGTTTTAGAATAGTAATATATATTGCAGGTGGAAGATCTAAAAACATTAGCGAACGACAGTCCATTAAGCACGCCATCACCAAGTCCCGTGAAGAAACCTGACAAGCCCAAGAGGACGGGCATTATGAACTTACCAATGCCGCCCGGTAATTGTCTCTATTACTCTTACTAATATTATAAACGCGAAAGATTGTGAGTAGAAAGAAGAAAGAAAGAAAAATATTTTATTCAATGCAATGTAAAAAATACAATATAAATAACAAACGAAAAAAAAGAGCAAATAAAATGTACATATAAGTATATAGAGTATGGATGGATGTTTGTTACTCTGTCACGCAAAAACTACTGATCGGATTTTGGTGAAACTTTACAGTAATATAGCTTATATACATCAGAACATACAGGTTATAAATTTCACGAGAGTGAAACCGCAGGCACAGCTAGTAATATCATAAAACATAAAAAAAACAAGCTAAAAAGAACTGAGTGCAAAAATAAATACATTATCAGTTGATATTAGTTGATAATGTAGTCTGTATTATTGAATGTGGTGTGTCTCTGGAAATATTTTAAATTACTATAGTGAATATAAGTTTATACATGTTTGAGTAGCATTTGGTAAATTCTCAGTGATCCCCGGCTCCGAGGAGTTGTCAGGAGAGGAGTTGGAGGCTGTGACGCCACCACACTCTCACGCATACTCCCACGTCTTCAGCGGAAGGAAACCTCCACAGCACAATGTATGTATATAAAGTCAATCAAGCTCAGTTTTTGTTATACATAACAATGGAAACAAGATTGAAGAGCAGACAAAGACAGTTAATTTTGTTTCATACTAATTATAGATTATACGTTATTTAAATGTCCGAAATCAAAATAAAAAAAAAACAAAATAATTATAAACAAAAATTACTTAAATGGCTATTGATGTTCATCACTTAATTACATAGGCTATGTAGAATTACGTAAAAATGAAATTACTTAAGTGTTTAAAAACTCACGGTATCCAGTAAAAAAAAAAAATAAAAAATAATGACGGCAAGAAGTAAATAATGGCAACGATTTAGATCAAATCGTTACTAAGAAATATAATCTTGTTTAAGGTAGGTTTGGAGGCGGAAAGGGTAGGGTTTTGGACTGCCAAAACCCTACCACTGGGCCACTAATTAAGAATATACGTAAGTTTAATCGTTTTAATTCCAGACGGGAACAAAGCTAAAGAGGCCGCGGATACTAAAGCGGCGCGGTTCCAAAGTAGTTCCCGTAGCAACGCCCACACACCATGCCAAGGACTGGGGCGAGAAGTGTGTCGACGGCTTCCAGGTTCTATATCTCACTATCCATTATAATTTTTTACACACAAAAAAACCACACATTTTTTTTTAGCCTGCTTCATGATCATCTTGTCATCCGCAACTGATGCCTCGCCGGCGTAAGCAGTTACCGCAGGCGGAAGTTCCTTCCCCATACACGTAATACTCCCAAAGTTTTGGAACGCTACATTTCAGGAAGGCCCATAGAACCGGCACTTGGACAAACGATCCTACCAATTATGAAGCATATCAATACCAATACCAAAACCAATACCAAAACCAATAATTTCACTGTAGGCCACTATGCAAATTACGGGCTAAATTATATGGCGACTTTATCGTCAATTTATGTTTGTAACTGCAGGTAATAACCCAAATTGGCGAAGGTACCTACGGCCAAGTGTACAAAGCACGAGATAAGAATACCAACCAATTAGTGGCGCTGAAGAAGGTCCGATTGGAGAACGAGAAGGAAGGCTTCCCTATCACGGCTGTGAGAGAGATCAAGATTCTAAGACAACTCAACCACAAAAATATAGTCAATTTAAGAGAGATTGTCACGGATAAGCAGGACGCTATGGACTTTAGAAAGGTTAGTTTTGGTATTGATCAAGTAGAGTAAATTGCTATAAACAGAATATATTTGTATCTTAAATGTTATGTAATCTGACCTGGATCTATTTCTTTCCTTAGTTATTTGTATCGTATTATTCGGTATCGCGTTTGATGTGAATAATTGTATCTATGTAATTTAACTGCCTATTTAACCTATAAATACGGAATTTAGGCAAGATGTTTGGCAAATGAAAATTATTATAATGATTTTTTTTATGGGGGAAATGTCCTGATGACTGCCAATGATGAAATTGACCCCTAGGATTGTCCCGACAATTAACACAACTTCATTTGGTTCTATGCTAAACTTGTGTTTTGGGTTCTAGACAACTGATACAAATACATAGATTATTAAAATTTTTGTAAATGTAGATATAAAACCCCCAGATCAGTATTTAAATTTAGAAACGATTTTGTTTTTAATGAAAACCATTAGGTAAGACTAGTTTAAAAAAGAAAGGCGTGCTGTGCGCATCTTTCATCATCATCATAGTTTCTAATAAAATACTAATTTCATACTGATGTATTAAATTTTCTCATTTTTAGGATAAAGGCTCTTTCTACCTGGTATTTGAATATATGGACCACGATCTCATGGGCCTCCTGGAGTCGAAGATGGTGGACTTCACGGAGTCACACAACGCGTCCATAATGCGGCAGCTACTCGACGGGCTCGCGTACTGTCACAAGAAGAACTTCCTACACAGAGACATAAAGTGCAGTAATATACTGATGAACAACAAGTGAGTACATATTAAAGTAAAAAATAGGCTTAGAATACTCTAGACAGTAGGGAAAACATGTTAATACAAAAAATAATAATTTCATAGGCGGCTAAAATGTTCTACATGAATAAATGATTTTTAATTTGACTTATATTGGCGCCTACTCAGCTTTCTTTTATGGCTGCTGTTGACGGTCATGGAAGTTTAGCGGTTTATTACACCATCCTACAACCATTCCGTCGCAGGTTCGATTTCCTACACGAAACAAACATTTGTATTCAAGAGAATAACATCACCTAACAATATGATTGTTTGTATCGGCCTAAGTGTTGATTTCTCTTTTCTTTTCTTTCGTTTTTCCTTTTTTACTACTTAATGGAGTTATATTATTTTGTTGTCGATTCTCGTTGCGGTTTGATCGCTGAACAGTGAACACTAGGCTTCCGAAATACCCGATCTCTATTTAAAACCTGATGATGTCTCGTTCACAGGTGAAACACGTGTAATATGGGTGTAGACTAAATAACGGTCGGAATATGATCACTAATAATCGTAACGAAAGTGAAGTATCCGCACTAATATTTGCGATCATACAAATTGTAACGGAATTAAAAAAAAAATCCATTAAGTAGTGAAATTATACGTGTTTCTTTTCTTTTATTTCTAATGAAATTGTTTATTTTAGGGGCGAGGTGAAGCTGGGCGACTTCGGGCTGGCGCGGCTGTGGTCGGCCGAGGACCGGCAGCGTCCGTACACCAACAAGGTCATCACGCTGTGGTACCGCCCGCCCGAGCTGCTGCTGGGCGAGGAGCGCTACGGGCCCGCCGTCGACGTCTGGTCCATGGGTTGCATCCTCGGGGAGCTGTTTCTTAAACATCCGCTGTTCCAGGTCAGCTTCATCTATTGAGCTTCTCCATTGCTCAAACTTCTTTACTTATTTTGAATAACTATACTAGGTTAGCACTTTCAGACCTGATGATAGGAGCTTAAAATATTATTTATAATACTTTTAAATACAGTATTAAACTTAATTATATACAAAGTCAGCAAAGGTGGACTCTTCTCTAAAAGAGATCACTTCCAGTCAACCCAAATGCAGATAGATACCTAAAAACCCATAACACACAAAGGTCTTGCAATAACGTAATAAGTAAATGATTTAATTGTATCGCAGGCGAGCATCGAGATGATGCAGTTGGAGATGATATCCCGCGTGTGCGGCACTCCAGTACCGGGAGTGTGGCCGGGTGTTGTTCGCCTTCCGTTATGGCATACGCTTCGCCCGAAGCGCTACCACAAGCGTTGCCTTCGCGATCAGTTCGCCTTCATGCCTGCGCCGGCGTTGCATCTACTCGATCGTATGCTGGAATTAGACCCCGAACGGAGGATCACAGCCGACGATGCCCTCAAGAGTGCATGGCTCAAGAATGTCGTGCCCGACCAGTGAGTAACTTTCATATTTTAATTTCACAAAATAACTAACAATACAATGTTTTAAAATGGAGTTTGACGTTTTGCATGTAAACCACTGTTAACATATTATGAACGGGACAGGTAGTCGTTCTGCATTTTGCCATTTAAAAGCGAGGAAGATATTAGTATAAGATATTAGATAGTACCCGTTTAAAATAAGTAATTTTAAGTGACACAAGGGAAAAATATATATACATATATATATTTATTAAGACGGGTACAAATACCTGCCCTGCTCATAATGTGTTAAACCAGGGCCATGTGGAGGTCTCTTTAGACCATAGACAGTCACAGTTTAGAGATAAATTTCGTTTTGTAATAATGAATACTTTGGTCAATTGTTTATTACTAATGCTAAACAAGCTTTATCTTTTTGTAATAAGACAGTACCTGTTATTCTGATGTTATAAGCTATATTATTGTAAAGTGTAGTTTTTACATGAAACAGTAACAAACCTACATATATCTCTATCCCTTCATCTTCATGAAGTGTGTGAGAGTCATCCACACTCACACTTCCGCGTTTACAAAATTTATAAAAAGAATGGTAGACAAGCTGCCAGCAAAATTATAATATATATATATATCTATAGATAGATAGATGTTTTGATATTTAATACTAATATTACACTAGGATGCCACCACCTGAGTTGCCGACGTGGCAGGACTGCCACGAGCTCTGGTCGAAGCAGCGTCGGCGGCAGCAGCGCGAACAACAAGATCAGCAAGGGAAACCCAAACCGTACTTTGATAACCCCGAGAAGGACCCCAACTTTAAACCCAACGACCAAGAGTTCAAAAGTGAACCGTACAAAGCGGAAAGTGGTTTCAAACCCACGGAACCCAATCCAGAGACTGTGGGACAAGTGAAATAGTATATGCATTATTATTATGGGTACTATAAGTGATGGTGACATTCTAATGGTGCTACAGTGTTAGACCAATTGACTTTGTGATTATATATTTATAGGTGATGGGTGATCTGTTGTAGAAACTGGTGATAATGGATTGTGAGTTTAATTCTTATAATTTTTATTACATCACACGTCTAAGTTCCTAAGACTAGTTACAATTAGTCAAACGAGGTTAATTTGAATTCTAGATTAAACCTTAGTCAAAAACTTGAGGAATAGAAAATTATATAGTTCAAGCATAATTCATTATTGAAACTCATAGTAAACCACATTAGCTTGTATTAAAAAGTTAAAAGTCATCACCAGTTTCTACTGAGTTATAAATAGTTAAATGACGGGGCCATATTGGCCTCAACGGTAATGCTTCCGTGTTTAAATGCCAATTAAATTGGTCACAAGTGTAAATAATACGATTTACAGAAACATTAATATAGGCGTTGATCGTAAGCTCAGTTATATCACAAGGTATTTTGAATATAGCGTTTTCTTTACACTGTCGGCCAATCTGATTGGGTAGTAGTCTCGGCGTTTGTATGAACGCGTACCAAAATTATATATTGATAACCAAAGTGTCTCATAGCGCTAGTTTACTGCGAACCATTGCAGAATAAATTGTATAGATACGTATGAAGTTGTAAATATTTAAATGTAGTCTTAATTCGCAATAAGAACAATACTGTTTCCTTTTATTTTTATAGTGAACTGACTTGTCTATTATGTTAAATGTCTATGTTATAGATGCGTAATAAGTGAATGTTATTATAGTGGAGTTGATATATTTTGGTGGCGTTTGGGAGTAATGGGAGAGTTTCATAGACGCATTTCGTTTCCTTTAATTATTATTTCGGCATTTTATTATCTCGTTAACAAATGCAATCATGAACTTTATATATGTAGATCTAGTCCATGTATTACAATTAAAGACATATCTGACAATACATTTTTAATTTCGGCTGTGGTATTGATAAAAAACACTCAGGTCTTCACCGGCAAGTCCAGGATGATAAATATGTATGCTAAAATGTACCTATTAGCAGTAAAGACATAAATAAACGACAGGCAACATTTGTACGTGTTTGACGTGAGAATGGACATACTTTAAAACCATAAAAGTAGGGAATGTCTATTCTCATCGCCGACACGAGAATAACGAATAATTAAGATAAGATGGAAGGAGGTAAGAAAGTAAAACACAGTGGTAAATAAAGACACTCAATTATTTATAACATTCAAAAGTTATCGCATTTAGAAAATGAATAAAATAATGATAAATATCATGTGTAGTTATTATATGTAAGTATATAGGCAAAACCCTTATAAAATCGGCGACAAGCAATATATTTTGGTAAATTTCATAACGTAAATAAGATTATTTTGCATTTACTGCTGGAAATTCTTTATTGAAACGTAATTAAAATGAGATTTATTCGATTATAGATGTAATAAAATGTAATTGTTTTGGCAACTTTAAATGACAAAATTTTACTTGTGGTGTCATGATATGGCAGTAACATTGCGGGATAGGATCGCATAACACCTTAGACCTATATAATATCGTCGCATGAGGATTATCACGGTCGTCACAAATTGATATTGTGATGTCCATGTTACGATTATTGTATAAGTATTGCGATTTTATGGGTTGACAACTCATTGTTGATTCCTCTAATCATTCCTTTCATGTATAAAATAATTAATTTAGAAGCCTGTCTCCTTGTTGAAGCTCTAAAAAGTCACATGGTAAAGTTTTGTGATTGCACATGTTAACTGCAACCGGAATTGATTTACTTTTGATTTGTTATATGTTTAGTTTGAAGTTAACTATGACATCACAGTTAGCGATCTCTAGGTTTTGTCTGTTTCTAAGAAAAAGAACTAGTAGAATCATGGTCATAATAGCAACTGAACTAAACATTTGTTATACTTGTACTTTGGAGTTTAGTAGTGAGTTAGAACAGATCAGGTATATATTTGTTCTTTCGGAAATTGTTGTTCGTTTCGTTCGAGTCTTCGATGCTTTTTTCTATAATTATATTACAAGGAAATTATAGTATAAAAGTGTTGTTGGAATATGTTTTGTCTTGTGTGGTTAAGATTTGCAAATCCTACATGTCATATAACGGGAATTATTTACATTTCGTGTATATACAAAGAGAAAGCACAAAAGTATTGAAACTAGTGACAACCTTCGAAATTTGGAATTGGCATTTGTATATTTCATCTCTTCTAACTTTTAGTAAACTACATAAGTCGAGATGTGACAAATATATAGAAATTAAAAGCTATTTTAACCAGAGTGGGTGCCTTGGTGTTTGTTTGTGTAGTGTGGTACACAAGTTCAATATTCACAACAAGCAAAGTTTCAAATTATAGCAACGAATATTCTCATTTTTAAGTAATGCGCAAATGTTGGTATTAAGTTATCCATAGAGAAATGTACTATATATCTGTTGTTGCCTTTTTAAAAAATGTTCAATATATCTTAGTTAAAATAATCCCTTAGTTATATATATATGTATATATACTATTTCGTGAATTCATATGTTACTAGTAAAAATTCCTCTTTCACTAGCGGGAAAATGACAAAGAATGCTAAATGTTAACATTTCTATATACGTTACCATACGTAAGAAGAAACGAGACGTCAGACATGCTATCTCAATTGTTCAGTCGTGTTACAAAAATTATGGAGGAGAGAATGAAACGTCGTATGGAGATTTTACATTTTTAAATTAATACTGGATCGTAGCTAGATAAATTTATAAAGTTATTGATGCATTTTAAATATCAATAAGTTTTACACCATTTTGTTACGCTGGCGGGGTACCATAAGAGGATGAGAATAAAGTCAGGGTAGTTATCCAATCGTGTAGCCCTTTAAGACTATAGTGAGATAAATTTTTGTTTCTATTCATACTTCCTGTGTTAACGACATCGAAATTACTTGCAAAGGGACCCATATCTAACCCACAGCTATCGCTAGTTACCAAAACAAAAATTGTAAAAATTTGTTTTCATATATTTGGTAATGTAATCCCCCCTTTTTACAAAGACATCGATGACTCAAGTTGGCATTTACAAAGTGTACAGTGAATATGTAATATGTATATTTGTAAGTACGTAGCGTCAGCAATGCATAGCGTGAATTTCTAGTTGTACAATGTAAGTAATATATCATCATGTTATACTATTTCACAAATGTTTAAATAACGAATCCATAATGTACATTACACTATAATTATTTTTTTATAATACTGTAAATACATGGGTTTGTGAGTCGATTACTCTGTCTAAGGTATTTTAAGTTTCTTTTTTTCTTAATTTAACTAGCCCTATTCCATTTTTAAATAATATATTGTAACATAGCTAGGGATGTGAAGCATAAAATCGATGGTTTTTTAGGCCGTCGGTGAAAGTATAATTATTTTAATCGATTTTGTGGAATAATAAACTTGATTTATTATTTATTAAGTTATATAATCGTTTATTTCCATAATCAACTGTTTCCACATCCCTAATTAATAATGTTACGTTACATCTTCCATGGGATACGTGATTTTATGAATTGTCCACTAGTGATCGAGCATTTGTAATTACGCGTGGCCAATTATTGTTGTAGGCAGCGAAACGATATTTGTTTTCTTTTTTTTTTTCAGATTTTAGTAATGTATAATTTGTTATTTTTTTTAATGTACATATAAAATTAAATTAATGACGCTGTGACAACTCGTGAAGTAAAACTTCATGTATTTTATCTTTATTTATCTTTAGAATATTGAATAGAACTTTCTAGAATGTAAGAATTGGCATACAAACGTTTATTTAGACAGTTTCGCTCCCTACAGCATGTAAGGTCATACATGTATATATTACACGCTTGAAAGACTTAATTACTGTATTATATAGATTAAGAGTCGCCTTCAATAATCCGGAGTTTAGGAGACAGTATGTGTTTGTTTTGTTACAAGTTTGGTGTCGTTTGGAAATTGGCATTGGTAAATGTGTTTTGTTCGTTTTTTTATGTAACTAAAATTGAAAATTGCCTGACGGGCCACCTGTTTCTTTAATTCATGATAATGGAATGGTGCATTGCAATGCTTCATCTGTCTGCGCTAACGGTTTACGCAGGCGGAGAAACAGTGGTGGATGGTAAGATGAGGATAGGTCAGTTTCAATTTATCAGGAATTTATCATGATGGTTTCCAGGGGGGCCATGTGGAAGTCAATTTGACCATACATTGCTAGCAATGAAATCGTTAGTCCACATTCCTAACAATCCTATCTATTAGGAAGTGGCAACCGCCGTCTATATACCTTAATACCGGCCAACCCTGGTAGACCTTATACAATGACATTCCAGAGGACAAAGGTAACATGATTCCATATCCTGTAATTTAACTGCCATATCTCAACCTTTGACTGTTTACAAAGATAGCTACTTGTTGGAAAGTTGGATTTTGTATGTTTGAGAATTTATTAATTTGTGGGCCCCACTTTGGGAAACACTGATATAAACTAAACGCTATATAAATTACGTGACGTTAGATAAAGTGAGTTTAATGTACACTACGAATTTAAAATAGCAATTTCGTACATTGACAAAAAATGACAAGGTGCATCTGAAATTATTAATATAAAATAGAAAAATCTTTATGCACTTTTCATCATGCTCCTATTGATCTGTATCGCTCTTGACTGGAATTGAAATTTAACAAAATGATTATTGAAAATGAACAAAACATATTTCGTACTCTTTTTTTGTACTGGTTTTCTTTGTTGTACATAAAAAGAGATGCGTTAGCGTAAGTGAATAACTTTGTTTGTATATTAAGACTGAAAAGGGAGACAATTTGCGATTGTCTGTCACTGTAACTCTGGATTGTTATCACAAAATATAATTGTATAAATGTACCTAATTTTTTTAATAATTAAACTACAATGAATTATAATATAGTCTTTTATTAAAGCCTCTCTGATCCTAGTGTGATATACTGTTTTTTAATCTTTCTACAGATATAGACAAGTATATTCGGTGATCAATCATTATTAGTTAATAGTTTTAAATATACATTTACATATCTGGTCAATTAATATTGCATAAGTAATCACCAAACAAAAATGCTAAAGTGACAGCTTACATAGAAAAAGGTTTTATTGATAGAATAGAAATAATACAATAAAATTATTATAAAAACCAACTTTAGAATACTGTTCTAATTATACTTATACTTTATGACAACTTTTTTATTGTAGTGATCGTGAAGTTTTATAGTTGTCAATTCAGTGATCTATTCAAAGCACTTTGTTAATGACATTTGTTAATAATATCCCAATTATACGTTTGATTACGTTAATTACGTTATCAAAAACATATGATTATATTAAGAGAAGCCACATTACAGAAAAAATAGAGTTTCAGTCAACTAGAATGAGTAAGAAACTTGTTGCTCTTTGAATAAATATTATATTTTAAGTAAAAATATTAGTGTACACTGATTAGCATTATGGACTCTGATGTCCATAGTAGCTCTCATGCGTTGTCATTCTGGAGAACTATGATTTCAAGGCTCTGCCTTAATATATTTTGAATATTTTTTATATTGAAAGGCCAATTTTCAATATTGATATATTCATAAACCAAGGAAATAGATGAGACAAAGTTAACCAGGTAGATAATTTGTACAAAGCTTACTTTGTTAGGGAACATGTAATGGAATAAATAGTATGAAATAAATACTCAATAATATCAAAATACATTTATTTAAAAAATGACTATACAGGAACATTATTAAGTATTACAAGGCACTTTTTTTGCCTGACTAATTCATGGCCTACAACTGGAGCCCACAATAAGGCTTAGAAACAACAGCGGCAGTGATATCCTTTAGGTAAATATAATAAAATCGTAACGATGTGAAGACTACTATTCTGACAGATGAGGGACAAATAATAACATTAATTGTCCCCCTGCCAAAAGAAAATCTGAGATCCCCCACCTCTGGGCGCGAAGCAAACCTGACTTTTTTATTTCTGTGTTTTGTACATTTGCAAAATCCATCCATTGTATTCAAAGTTCCGACAAGTGTCAACAGCATAAAAATAATATAGGTTATATTTATTTTGTCTCGTATCATCTTTTTAAATATCTAAATAGAAAATTATTGTTGCTGCCGCTGTGTCAAACCTTTACTAAACGATCGTCTTCTAATCAATACTTGTTTTCAAAAACTGTATTTCAATAAACATCTAATAATTTTGTATAAAGGATGACACAATTTTCATTTCACCAACATTTCAGTGTAATCACAAATCTGAATTATGAATTACTATACAAATAGGCACCTTTGATTCAGCTAAATGTAAGTAAATAAAATTGTATTATTTTTAATTATGTTATAATAATTATTATTGCTATGGATACTAGCTCTAGGGCCACACTTTAGTTCCCTAAATATTTTACCATTCTGTTACTTATACTATTTTGCTGAGAATATTTTAATTCACTAGTTCACTATAAAAGTCTTATATAGCGAATAGGAATCTTTTAACTCTCGGTTGCTTTGTATTTTATAAATATGCATATTGAAATTTTCTTCCAAACACACAAAAATAATATAAGCAACCATTACTTAGGTACCATAAAAATATAGGGATTCCAAGTGTTCACCATTTGGAAACAAAAACATGAAACAATAATTTGAATTGACGGGAAGAGTATATTGAAGTACAGGGCCTTAATTATGTAACGATGTTAGTAATAATTCTCGATTGTAACGGATAATAATCTACATTTTGACAGTTACACTTACGAACCGTATCGTCCGTCCGCCTGAGTTGAGGTTCGAAACTTCAGTGATGTCATCAGAATATATTCATATCCGCCAGGCAGGAGTTGGTCTTGAGTCTCTCCACGAGTCCATCCGTAGGTTGTTTTATTTGTTTCACCTGACATTATTAATTGCTACGACCAACAGCAGTAGAATAAGAAAGGTTCGAAGAAAAAAGGTTAGCTCCAATCTACAACTCTAAAATGGTTCATAGAAAATTACAAATGGCCAGTTTCAATATGTCACAATTGTGAATTATTAATAATATCGTTACATAATTAGTTACTGGGTCGTTAATTTAAATTTGAATTAAAATTACTTTTGATTACGTTACCAGAAGGTACATGTGCTATTAATGTTAAAAACCTTTAATATATTTTAAATAAGTTATTGTCTATTATCTTTACGTAAGGGATGATTCCATGCCAATGTAGTTAAGGTATGTAGTTAACGGTAGTTTAAGGCGATGCACTAATTTGATATTAATAACGTATTATATAATTAATATGTCGATCGAATAAATATAAATACATAAATGATTATCTGTAAGGTACCTAAAACAAAGTACAAATAATAAACTTTGACACATTTCACCGATGTACCGTTTTATTTTATGGCATACAAAAAATACTAGGTTAGAGTACTTTGTACGAAAATCTCAATGGAATATATCACATTTCAATACAATTATCATTAATTAATACAATAAAGGGAATTATAAAAAAAGAACACGAAAAAATCTTAAAAATTGGACATTCACTTCATAATTAAATAATAATATATAAGTATAAAAATATTTATCTAACAATTAAGAAGACTTGCCATCCTTATCACTCTTTGTAATGACTGAGTGAAACAAAACATTTAAGTTTACTGTGCCATTTGATCTCTAACAACTAAGTATTACTCTTACATTATTTAAAATAAATTAGTAAAAGAAGCTATTCAGTTATATCCTGACCAAAAATAATTTATATATAAATAAAGAATTAGGTACATTTAAATATGATTTATACAATATTTTTCATTTATTCTTCATTAAACTTTTGGTTAGGATAAACTTGATCTAGATTTTAATGATTTCAATAAATTACAAATGAACTAGGTCGTTGTTAATTTTGATCGTTGTCTATGGTTGGAATGATAGCGTCTTATTTCTTATATTTCAATAGCCTTCCTCAGGGTGTTGCCACCTGGAAAATAAAAAAATAAAAAAAAAATTATGGATGATTATAGAATGACGTCCCCGTCTGCGTTAATGATTTACGCTGTTGCGGGGCATCAGTGGAGGCAGGTCAGTTGGCCCATCGTGATAAATTCGCCAGGGATTTATTACAATAGTTTCCAGGGGGAGCCGCCGCATGGATGTACCTGACTTGGTACATTGCTAGCGGTGGAGTATTAAGTTCACATTACTAACAATCGCTTTCCCCAATAAATTGTATAAATAACATTGTACAACTGAGTTGAGGATGGTCCTTCACTCAGCCAAATTTCAAATGTTTAATTTAAAAACTAAAGATGTTAGTCAAGCATATGGTCTGCCTGATAATAACCGGCTGCTGCAGTATCTTGTAACAGCACTTGTCAATAATTATTTTGTTTTTTTTTATATTTATTTTTAATTTATGTACTTCTTGGGGAAATTTCCACAGTTTTATAATAGACCGATTATCTAATTACCCAGGTGTAGTGTAGGTACCCACGTGCCTAATTAGCACATAGAAGGCGTTGTTTATAAAATGTAGGTAGATACATACAACCAGTAAGTTGCCGCTCTTGGCTCGGTGGATGGTCGGCTGGGGTCCGTTGATGACTTCAATGGTACCGCCTTGTTTACCGTTCACCAGGTTGTGGGCGATCCTGCAAATAGCAAATTTTTATATATATCACACTGGTGCAGATGAGGAAACGCTACTACACATCCTATATGGTTGTAGCTCGCTCTTGCAAAAACGAAATACATCCTATGGAAAGTATACACTCTATACTAAGGAGATAAAACTAATCGCTCCTAAGAATATCCTTCAATGCTTGTCCCTAGGCAGCGAACTGTAAAAAGGTCGAGTACAATAGATCTATTCAGGTCGCAGTGTCACAGATCTTAGCACCTGCCAATAGCCTAAAACCCCCCATAAAAAATCACATTGGTAGGTGCACCATACCGTTATCATATACAGAAGAATAGACTTACATTCTGGTGTCCACGATCTCAATCAGCGCCGGCTTCTTGATATTGTCTGTAACGATGGTCAGCGCCTCGATCAGATACGACACCGATATTATTAGATCACCCTATGAAAGAATAATTATATTATAACAAGCACTTTTTATTAAATTACTATCATTAATTGATAAAAAAAATAAAATTCTTTAAGAAAGTTCTTTTTAAAAGCACAGTTTAAATAATGACATAGCCTATTCGCCAAATTATTTTATAAATAAAAGATAGTAATTTATTATACACGCTAATAGTACCTAACTCATAATTAGCGTTTACTATTAAAAAAATCTGTATTTTATTTATAAAAGAAATATTTTTTATAAGCGCTTAATAAAGAACTGTTCAAATAATGAAATAGCCTATTCGCCAAATTATTTTATAAATAAAAGACAGTTTTAATTATATGCTCTAATCGTAAATCACAATTAGCATTTACTATTAAAATTACTGACTTTTATTTATAAAAGTACGATAATTCTTTTAAGAAAACTATTTTTAAAAGAACTGTTTAAATAAGTAAATAAAATAAAAGTAACTATTAAAACTACTGTCTTTTATTTAAATACAAATAAAATTATTTTAATAAAGGAGTCTTTAAAAGAAATGTTTATATAATAAAAAGCCTGTTCATCAAAATCTTTTATAAATAAAAGCCTTTTAAGAATGTTAATTTTATAAGAACTATTTAAATATTGAAATAGCCTATTTTTCAATTAAATAAAGTAACAAACTACTACTTGTATGCTAGTTACAGTAATTGCATCCAGCGAGTATAAAAAACCAAATGATTTTTACTTATATTTAATTTTATGATGGAGTACAGATACAGACATTTTTAGTAAATAATCTATAACGAAATTAGATATTGACAGAAGTTTGACAGACAATAATTACCACAAAAACATAGTCAGTGTTTTACAGATTAAATTTAATGGAATTAACAATATTCAAATTGAAATTGGGATACTGTTAAAACTGTCAACTACTATATTGAAATTGGGGATATTGCGGCCGCGTTTGTTCTGTGGCGCGTGCAGGTTCTGCTCTTCAACATTCTATATCTTTATGTGTTAAATAAAAGTTACATGGTATACTTGTGTGGTAATTTTGTGGTAAACTTACCTTGTCTTTCTTCAGCTCTTGTGGTATTTTAATAAGCACGAGGCTATCTGACTCGTTTGTGACGATCACACGCAGCTTGTCGAGAGGCAGTCGGTGCTTCAGTTTGTATGTCTTGCGTCCGGAAGCGTCCAGCACATAGAGAGCTTTGTTTGAAGCGAGCAGAGCCCTCTCGCGGGGCTTGTATTTACGGCGGTCGTATTTTACAGCCTCGCATGAATACTGTAGAGAAATTAAATAGATTTTCATTACATAGACATAGACACCTATACAGAAATTAGTCGCAAAGGATGTATGTACTAAGCGGCAAGGATATGAAAGTAGCCATGATAACGAATAACTTTTGTTCTACGCATTTCCCTGAAACCATTAAATTTATCGATAACATGGCTTCAAAGCTCTTATCTATACATATAAACAAAATTGGAGTGTCTGTTTGTAATGTTGAAAAAACCGTTTTTTACTACGTGCATATGAATTCAGTAGTTACTCATGGGGGGAAAGGGGATTGTTAGTAATGTGGACTGATGATCTTATTGCTAGCAATGTAGGTACTATGTCAGGTTGACCTCAATGCAGTTCCCCCTGGAAACCTTCGTGATAAATTCCTGGTGAATTTGGCACGATGGACTAACTGACCTGACCTCGTGCTCATCTTATCATCCTCCACTGGTGCCCCGCCACTGAAAACCGTTAGCGCAAGCGAGTGCAGCGTTCCAAACATCTATACATATAAATAAAATTAGAGTGTCTGTTTGTAATATTGAAATAATCCTCTTTTACTACATACATATGAATATAAATACGGCACATACACCAAAATAACATTTTTTACAATTTTTGTCTGTCTGTTTGTTCCGGCTAATCTCTGAAATGGCTGGACCGATTTTGACGGGACTTTTATTAGCTGATGTAATAAGAAGTAACTTAGGATACTTTTATTTTAGAAAAACAAAGTTTAATTCCACGCGGACGAAGTCGCGGGTATAGCTAGTATAAAATACAATAACAACAAAATACTAAGAGAGCTAGACTACCGAGATTGTTAATTATTCAGTCACAAACATATATATGTGTATATATAGACGAAGAATACTTACGATGAGCTTCTCTCCAGCAGGCCACAATGGCGATGCCATGAAGGTGTTCCTCAGAGTCTTATGATCGGAAGTGAGCCGGTCATCAATGAATTTGTGCCTGATGCTGCTCGGGTAGCTGTTCTTCTTATCTGAATAAAGATAATAGATGGTTTACATTAATGAGCAGAGATGAGGAAACTAGAAGTAGAGAGAAGAGAAGAGCAGAAAAGAGAAAGAACTGACCTTTGAACATAGTCTCAGCGAGGACCTTCAGCTCGAACTGCTTCTTCTGTTCGGGCGAGAGCGCCAGCCGGTAGCGGCGCGCCAGGTGCGCGCGGTGCAGCCGCTGGAGCTCCTTGGACGCCTCCTGGCACGTGGCGGGGCACACCGGCCACGACAGGTCCAGGACTTTGGTTGGCAGCTGGGTGGACAGCCTCTTCAACCAGTGCACCTTCGCGATGCCCAGGAACCGGCGGTTCTCTGGTGTCTCAGGCCCATTACGGGTGATGAAGCCTGTACACATTTACTCTATCATTTTTCCAAAGAATAGAATAGAAATTACTTCTGTAATTTACGTTGCGGTTGTAGAGTGCAGATTGGTCAGTGAAACTATATGATAAGAGGTATGAAGTATTGTTCTTCTGGAATGGCAACTCATGGGTGGTATCAAAGGGGTCACATGATAACGTGATATCCGTAGGTTCAGGTATGAAGACGACAGTTACCGTCTACCATCAAATATTTTTTTTAATAAAGGTTTCCTTTACCTTTAATGAAGGCTCTGACGACGAGAGCGGCTTTCTTTCTTCTCTCTTTTAACTTCTGCGCGAGGAACCGCCGCACCCACTTCTCTATAACGATGGCGGCGTTCCTCATCTTGAGGTACTCCTTCCTCTGCCGATATCCTCGCCAGCGGCTCTGGATGATGGCCGCTATATCGTTCTTCTTCACTTGGTACGCGTCTTCTGTCTCGAACAGTGTTTTCGGGAACCGGATGAAGATCTTTGAGCTAGAATAGTTTGGTAAATAAGCGTTGCGGATTAAACATTCATGTTTTTGTGGTTTTATATATATAACCTACCTAAGTTAAAGATATATATTAATTTATATGGATATATATTAACTTATAATATATTAATATATATATTTATATATATATATATATATTATATATATATATATATATATATATATATATATACATATATAATACTAGCTGTCCCGGCAAACGTTGTTTTGCCATATAAATTAATAACGCTATAAAAAAATAGGGGTTGATGATACAAGGGTGAAAATTTAGGATTGTATGTATTTTTGTATGTTGTATCATCCAAAAATAGTAACTAAAAATTTTATCTAAAATATAAAAAAAAAATATTTAGGCGTGGACTACCCCTAACATTTAGGGGGATGAAAAATAGATGTTGGCCGATTCTCAGACCTACTCACAAAATTTCATGAGAATCAGTCAAGTTGTTTCGGAGGAGTACGAACTGTGACACAAGAATTTTATACACTTGAGAGCAATGAATCCGGGTCACTTAAAAAAACCTATATATCTCGGAAACTAAGAATGCTAGCTTAATGAAATAAATTGTGTTTAATAGGCTATTAAATACTCCTTAATGTATATAAGATAGATTTTATATTTATAGAGCTTTTTTATATTTCTTTCGTTACGGATATAAAAACGCGGTAAAATTCGGTATAAATAGGGTCTTTTTTTAGTATACCAATTAGTTCTTAGAAAATTGTATACTATTTAGCATTAGAAGTGTAACTAATATAGTAATAGAATTGTTTTATTGAAATCGTTTTTTTCTCTCCTAATAAATTTTAATGAAAGTGTGAATTGATCTAGTGATTTTTATATTCAATAAATCAAGATATCTTTATTTATGTATATATTATAGACACTTATTTATTAATCATATAATATTTTTAGTTAAAGATATATTACTTACTTGCCCATCCTGTAATCTTCCTTGTCGTATTTCAGTGCTTCCACAAGCTTCTGTACGCCATCTCGGGGTTGCCCTCGGAAGTTGGGCCAAGTATCGGCGCTCAAGCACTTGTACCTTTTTAAAAAACGAGATTTTATGTTTAAGTACGTTAGACATATATACTACTTAAATGCTATGATCTTAATGTGTGTGATCTTAATGAACAGGACCTATGGGCCTGTCTACCATCCAGTTTTGTTAGCTTCTTCAGTTGACAGTTGAGAAAAACTAGCATTTTTTTAATATTAATTTTTATCATTGTGCATCCTTTTATTTCATGGGCCGTATGATATATACCTTACAGACTACCATATATATAACATCTTATTATCAAAGCGAAAATTTGTAAGTTGTGAATGTTTGTTACTCTTTCACGCAAAAAGTACTGAATGGATTTTGATGAAACTTTACAGTAATATAGCTTATGCATCAGAATAACACATGGGCTATATTTTATATTGAAATTTAATGCGGATGAAACCGCGGGCATAGCTAGTAATAACATAAATTTAAATTGTGTCTATAGTCACTGGTAAGAGAGAATTTAAAAAAAATTACCTCTCGAGGAATGCTTCGTAGGTACGCCTGTAAGCAAATCCAGCGCGACGCACGCGCAGGTTTTCCATCAGTCCGAGATACTTCACTTGGTGAGAAACCAGCTTGTCGTCGAATTGCACTGTAAGAAAATATATTTTTAAATTTCTAACACTACAACAATACACAAATAACTACAAAGAGAGAAAGAGCGAGAGGGATAATTGTTTTTGTTTTAAGGAAAGTAGAATAAAGTATAAATAAAATACAACTGTTTTCTTTTGTTACTTTTATATTTACCACCACTCATATGTCCCCGTACGGAGGACATCACTTGTTTTACCATTGCACTCGTATATCCCCGTCTGTACGGAGATATACGAGTGCATCAGTCGTTTTACCGTTGCACTCATATGTCCCCGTACGGAGGACATCACTCGTTTTACCATTGCACTCGTATATCCCCGTACAGGGGACATCAGTCGTTTTACCGTTGCACTCACATGTCCCCGTACGGAGGATATCCGTCGTTTTACCGTTGCGCTCGTATGTCCCCGTACAGGGGACATCCGTCGTTTTACCGTTGCACTCATATGTCCTCGTACAGGGGACATCCGTCGTTTTACCGTTGCACTCGTAAGTCCCCGTACAGGGGACATCAGTCGTTTTACCGTTGCGCTCGTATGTCCCCGTACGGAGGATATCCGTCGTTTTACCGTTGCGCTCGTATGTCCCCACACAAAGGACAAATTTCAAGCGGGTGAATCCGCGGGCACAGCTAGTACATTATATATTTAAAAAAAAATTTCATTCTGTATATCGTGGAGTCCTCAATTAAATGTTTAATCTACATTTCTATAATGCGATGATTTGATTATACTTACTCGACATTTTGGAGTCGTTGGGTTTAATGCACCTGATGTAGGAGGGCTCCTTGCTGCTCAGGATCTTGATGAGCTCATTCAGCGAGTTCTTGAACTGCGTGATTGCTGTCTCTGGCCGTTTCTTACTTAACAGGTTGTACTCCTAAAGATGTATTAATTAGATTTATTTTAGGTATTATTATTAAATTACAGAATGATACGCAAGACATCTTAGTCTTCTAACTGGCAACGTTATCATATGATATCCGTGATAAGCGTGTAACACGCTTATCACGGATATCACCTGATAACGTGATGTCCGTAGCGGTGTTCATGTATTTAGGTGACGGTTACCGCTTACCATCAGCTAGTTTGCCGAACTCATGGCCTCTTGGGCCTAATTAAGCGTTGTAATCTCCTGTGAGATTAAATAAAAATAATAAATTAATTATGCAAAAAACAGATACAAAATGGACTTAACTAAGTATATTTATTTCTATATATAATAAACTTATTATTATTAAGTACATTATCATCCCATCTGAAAAAAATATCTTTAGGATTTACATACTACTATATACTTTAGGTTAAGTATATACATCCAATTGAGAAAAACTGGAAAGATACTCAATTGAATTACTTTTTTTTTTAAAGCCAGTTCATTTACAATGTATGTATACATAGACCACAAACCTTGAAGCAGCTAGCCACGATACTGTTCCCACTGGACGCCATCAGGGTCTGGATATCTCTGAACAGCAGGTCGTTGTTCTTCTCAAGGAATGTCTTCACGTTGTACGTCACCTCGCCGGCATAGTGCACCAGGCAGAATTCCTGATACAAATAATATAGATATCAGTTTATTAGCATCAGGTGAGCCGTAAATATATGTAACAGATTTTGTTTGGGATATAATCTGCGTGTTTAGGATTTATTTGACAAAGATGTACTATGTTAAATACTACAAGTAGGAATGGAGGGTGCAGGGTTCCCAATAACTAAATAGAAATAATCTTTATTTAAATAAACTTAGTATAAGCACTTTTGAATTCCTTCCGAATGAGTCGTAGAATCAAAATATATGATATTTTGATTCTACGACTCATTCGGAACGCACACTTATCATAAGAAGAAAGATAAAGAAACTTGGGTGTTACTCTTTTAAATAAATGTTGTTTTAAGTAGACATGCGACAACTATCATAGAAACCGATACGCACTTTTGCAAAGACTGGCCATTTGGAAAGAAATAAAAAATGTGATGAAACCTCGTACATTAGCTCAATTTGCCTCTTTAATACTCGTACAACACAGAATTGTGACCGAAATGGTAGGTCCAAATCTCGTACAAATATGTAACGAGATTTTTGGCCTTCCTTCTTTTTTGATAGCTTTACTTCCGGTAATCGTGGATTCGTATCTGGCACGATATAAACATTTGTATTCGCAAGTATATTCGATAGTATTTATAAAAAATGTTATGTATTTATATCAATCAGTTCTCTAGTCGCCTATAAAACAAGTTCTGCTTAATTTGGGACTAAATGGCGCAGTGTGTATTGTCCAGAGATATTCTTATTAGTATATAATAATAAATTAGTATTAAAAATGATATTGTCAGACTCACATCTCGGCCCATAATTTTCTGGGTTCTAATATCAGACTTCCTGTGGGACTTGTAGTGGGGGTGCTTGTCCAAATGCTGGGTGAGACGCTCCAGTAGGCTGCTATCAGATGCATCACCAGGTCGAAGGCACTCGTCGTCCAGGATTGCAATAATACCTAAGAGTTGGGGGAATGGGAATTATTAGTTTTGTGGACTGACTATTCCTAACTACGTACTTCCAGAGGAAATCGTCCTCGTAAATTACCATTTGCTAAGATGGGTTAACTAACTTTATTATTATTTTATCATCCTCCACTGATACCCCTCACGCGTAAACCGTTATCCTTACCCTTGTGCTTGGCTTCAATGAGGTCACAAATGATGATGTTGTTGAAGTACTCGATGGGTTCCCACTCGATGCCCTCGCGCAGGTACTCTTCCTGCTCCTGCTTCAGGGTGAGCTGGATGAACAGCTGCTGCAGTTTCTCATTGCAGAAGTTGATGCAGAACTGCTCAAAGCTTGAAAACGAAAGAAAAATGGTATTATGTATATTTTATAATTCCAACACTCTGCTGGAAATGATTTGAGAGATAACGCTACTAGTTTTTGACTAGATAGCGCTGTGTGAAATGCCTTGGGTTACGCCCTTTACTGTACTAACATTAGAAAATTGATAATAAAAGTAAGTACAGAAGGAGTAAATTGATATCTATTTTATAATATTAGATTCTCTCGTTACATCTAAGCTAATATTATACAGAGGAAAGAATTCATTTGAAGTATACCTTCACCAAGAAACAAAGTGGATCAACAAAACAAATTTCGATCTTTCCAAATAAAATTGAACACGTATCAATAAGCTTGATTACCATTCCAGTTATTATACATAAAAATTGAATAACGACAGCTCATGATATCAAATAAGGCATGAAAGATGATGTAACTCACCTATTCTTGGGGAAGATTTCAAATCCGTAGATATCCAGTATGCCGATTACTGAAGACATAGCGGCCTTGTCTTTAGGCTGCAGCGAGGCGTTCAGTCTGGACACTAGCCAATTGAAGTGTTTGCCATAAATGGCCTTGGCTAGAGCGTCTCTCGCGTAGTGAGCTTGCTCCACTTCCAGGGGAGTATTGACGATGTCAGTTCTAGCTTCAATGGTCCTACTGGTCAGCACCTCACGGAGCTTCGTGACATCAACTTGAAGCAGCTGTGGAAGTAAATGTCTAGTAAGTACTGTAATTAAATTTCACAAAATAGAGAAAAAAGAATCCAAAATACGGTGGTAGGCTCGCTTCCGTTGTATTGAAAATATACCAAAGAAATGTGGGCTAATTTTGCGTTCTTCGAGAGTCTCTAACTACCTTCTCGGGGTTGTAGTAATGGTATATTTATTATAGAGTAACTGTCTTATTCATAATATTTGTAACCTTTTAAAACACAGTGTTTCATCATTTTCTATCAACTGAAAAGCTACATTGTAAGGTAAGTTTAAATCAGTTCAATAGGTAGCTCTACCAGTTTATGCTCCAATACCTGATCGGTTTTTGGGTCAAAAATGGGGACCTTTAAAAATATACAAAATAAAACAATATACCTACATCGTATGTAGGTATGAAAGGCGGTCTTATCGCTTAAGCGATTTCTTCCAGACAACCTAACAGTTTAACAGAATATTATGAATAATAATCACAATAAAGATCTTCGTATCATAATTAACTGTTAAAATATTGATATCTATAACTTAATTCCACTTTGATATTCAGGGTTAAGTTCCTTGGTTGACATTTTTGATTCTATAATTATTAGTAATGGTAAATATTCTAAGCAAACCCATTTAAAGTGATAGTAAGTAAACTGAGCGAAATGCTATATTACTTTGCTTTAAGAGTGTTAAAAATTATAATAACAAAAATGATATTATTTTCCTAGCTATTATCGTATACATACAATGCAAAAAAATACTGATAAGCAATAGCTAATGGTAAAGCTGATAAACGAATTAATTTACAATTTTTAAAGGAAATTACAACATATCCGAACATAATCACGTAAGATAAGAGATGAGGTCATCTATTAACATAAAATAGACTATACACGGCACTTTTATTTGGTAGAATTTCATTTCAGACAATGGCGTTCATAAGCGGAGTGTTAGGCATATTTACATAAACACTGTAGAACAATGGACCTAGTTACGAGCCTTGTGATACTACCATCTCAATCAATAGTCATTTATTCTGAATAAATGTATCGTTAATAGGCGTCGTGAATAGCAATTGACTAGAAGATAATTGACTGATACTTTTAGGATAGGATACAAATCATTCAATGTCTCACCAAAGAAATGTCCTAATCCAAAATTTTTACGTTTATGTACAATACATGTACAACCGTGCGAAGCCGGGGCAGGTAGATAGTACAATTGTAAATTTGAATGCGACATTATCTGTTTATTTATTATGGTACCACTATAATGACCTCAAGGTACATTATGCTTAACAAAATGAAATATGAAAATGTAACAACCGACTTTTGAAAATTATGCAGTATTACCATTCTACTGTTTTTTATGTATACTTTGAAACGCTTTGATAAAGATTTTGTATTTTGAGAAAAAATCATTACTCAAATCTACATATTTCGTACTCACTTCAGCTACATTTTCTGAGTTGGGGTCGTGTGTCAAAATCTCCGCGTATCCGTTACTGTTTTTCACGAATTTGATGTTTCCAAGGTGTAGAACGGTGGCTACGATAGAGAAGATCTCCGCCTGCTCGGCTTCACCAATTTCTATGACCTTCATAGCTTCCTGGACTATCCGGAACTGGTCGGCATCATGAGTCTTCTGAGTAGCAGGGCTGGTCTATAATAAAATTAAAACATTTAAGTATTTTACTAGCTCGTTTCGGTTAATATAGGTAAAATATAGGATTACACCTATTACAAGATTACTACTTACTATATCAGTAGTGTATTTATAGGCGTCTGGCCTGTTCTGCAGCCTCAAGCGACTCATTAACGCTGCATCCCCACCTGACAGAAGCTGATAGAATATATGGAAGTTCCTCTCTCCATCCATTTGGCTCACCACTCTAGACTTCTCTAGCAAATAGTTCAAAATATGGCCTCCCTCTGGTCCACCTTCGTAATTAAACTGGACATCCATATATTTGCCGAAACGACTTGAATTGTCATTCCTGTGAGTTTTGGCATTGCCGAAGGCCTCCAAGAGTGGGTTAGTTTGCAGAAGTTTGTCTTTGACAGTCTCAACATTTTGCAAGTGGTTGGTGCGAGCTGCAATATATTCGAGGATCTTCTTTGATGCCTCTGTTTTGCCGGAGCCCGATTCACCTGTTGAAGATAGTATAGCTTAGAACTCTTGTAATATGAGTGTATATTTCATGTGCACGTAGGCAACTATGAAATTACTAAATTCTGAAACTCAAATTATTTATTCACGTAGGACCTTTCGACCAATTTTTTATCATTAACCGTATCATCCAGTTCGGCTAGCTATTTAAGTTGAGAAAAACTGGTAAGAAACTCACCTGATACGCTTTTTATGTTATTATTAAATTTAAATTAAATTACTTGTTAGTAATGTTAAGTAATAGAGATGCACATTATAAATGGAATGTCATAAACTAACAGTAAATAATTACAAATTTAGCATCTTTATATACTGCAGGAACCGTAACTTGTATTTAGTTTATATGAGATTTGGAACACGACTGATCTAGTTTAAATTTGTCAAGTTTAGATTCACTGACTTGATTCAATTTATTAAGTACCGAATATTAATACTCATACTTAATATTAATGTAGGTGATAGAATGAGTGGACTGTATGTGTAATGTAAATCAAACAATGGATAGAAAATGGTAAATACTTATAATGAGGATAGTACGTGTACAAACGGTTGTAGGCAAAAAGTGACAATAAAAAATATATGACAATTCTAAAAGAAAATACATTTAAAATTGGTAGAAAAATAAATATATAAAAATGTGCAAAGAGTTTGCAACAATTAACATCGCAAACAACTATAACTCGCTCGTCATCCTACTGCGGCGGCGCAACGTGCAATATTGTGTATCTGTGGCGTATTATGTTTTGCGCGGGGAAAATAAAAAAAAATCTGCAGATATACTGATTAGTGGTCTTCTTGTTTTACTCTATTATATATAATGTATTGTAATAAATTTTAAAATTCATTATACTATCTATATTTATGTATGTATATATATATCTACGTATGTCAAATTATCCTGAACATAGACAATATGTCATCATCAGTCTCTTACCTGAGATCAGTATACATTGTTCTCTGTGTTCATACACTAGGGATCGATATGCATTATCTGCTATAGCGTATCTGAAAAAGAGGAAAGAATAATATAAACCACATCTTACATATAAAATTCTCGTATCACAATGTTAGTTACCATACTCCTTCGAAACGGATTTATCGATCTTTTGCGCATATATGGGATTTTTGTTAAGGGTGACCCACCCCTATAAATTTTTATTGTCCATACTCTTCAATGATATTTATTTTTACCTTTTTACCCCTATACGTTTTATTTTTTTGACATTTTTTTAATATAATATATTATGATTTGGTTTAAGAAAATTATATAACCATTTCATCGAGGTAAATATTGTAAAATGCCGTGTGACAGTATTATTTCTGACTATACTATAACAGAAATCATACAAACCATTAAGACAGTCGATCAAGTCTCGGTATCGTATTGCTAATAACTGTATCACAGATAACCAATTGATAATGTTTGATAATCAATAAAATAATAGTCTGATTGTGTAAGACCATTGTTTTTGAAGTCATTGGAATGGTAAACAAGCTGACGGTACACTTGATAGAATGTGGTGACTGACGTTTAGGTATATATATTACAAAATATATCTGTTAAATTGTATTTATTGAGCTAAACATAAAATGTATTGTAAAGGAAAAAAAAAATGTATTAAGAAGATATTTATATTAGTTGTTCAGTGCCTATATCACAAGTTCTTCTTAGCTTCGGATAGATGGCGCTGACTTAACATATAATAAGAATAACACAATCCACAGATTGTCCTGGGTTATGATTAATTACTAATATATTAATTCTAAATAAGTAACAATATGTAGAAGATGAATATAAATGATCATTGTGTATTTTACCACAATCAACTTTTCACTTCACAATCAACTTTAACAAATCTACCATAATCCTAGTTATTGTTTAGTGAAAGCATTGCAGCCCTGCCAAGATCTAGTGCAGGGTAATGCAAGGTGTCAGCCTACTAGTGTCACCAGAACATTATGTTTCAGTGTGTAGTTATGTTTGATATTTATTTATATATGGTAGTATGTCGTAAATGTTACTCTGTGTTAAGCGCCTAGATCTAAGTATGTATGTCTATTATTATTTTATTATATCTAAGAATGTATCCGCAGAATACCAGCATCGTGGCACCCCGTCACGACATATGCTGAGCGGAGACCTAATTGATACTATGAAATTAATATAAACCTATATAATGTAACTTAAAATATAAAAATTATTTTTAGTATTGCTATGTACTAAATAAACAATTTTCTTTCTTTCTTGCTTGCTTGCTTGCTTGCTTTCTTTCTTTCTTTCTAGTGAGTAAACATATGACAATTTTATAAAATCTAAATAAAATTTTAATAAAATAATAAATTTATAATATGTAACTTTTATTAAATCATATAAAGAATAATTCAAATATGTATTTGCATGTCTGTAAAGACTAAAAGTGAGAGCATCTATATAACATAGATAACTAAACAATCTATTATGTATTACTTTTATAACAAATAAATTTCATTTCATTTCTATCTTTGTATTTTGTTACAGAATTCTGAATATACTTACACATGCGGCGGTGCCTCAAAGAAGGCTTTCTTGTAATACTGCTTAATTTTCTCTTCTGTGTAGATCGGAAGGTTCTTGTACGGGTTCACTGAGATCAACACGTTACCGATGTATGTCTGGGAACAATATACAGACACATTGAGTCCATCTTTATATATAAGAACTAGCTGTACGCGCGACTTCGTCCGCGTGGACTATAACTTTATTTTTCTAAAATAAAAGTCTAAGTTACTCCTTGTTATATAAGCTATCTGCAAAAAATTGTCCCGTTAAAATCGGTGCAGCCATTTCAGAGATTAGCCGGAACAAACAGACAGACAGACAGACAAATATTGTAAAAAATGTTATTTTGGTGTAGGTACCGTATTTATATTTATATGCATGTAGTAAAAAACGGGTATTTTAATATTACAAACAGACACTCTAATTATATTTACATGTATAGATGTACAGATTACGTGTTACGTTGTTTGTCCGCGATGAACTTCTAAACTACTGAACCGATTGCAAATTTGTTTTCGCACATCGTGTGCAATTGCAATTCGATCCAACTTGAAAGATAGGATAGCTTACATCTCAATTTATGGTCGCAATATTATTTTATTGCAAATTATTTGTATATATAAAGAAACTGTTAGCCACAGCAATGCGTGGCCGGGCATGCTAGTTTGATTTAATAAACCTCTTTATATTCATTGCTCAGCGTAACTATTAAGACTGGTAGAATGACATTAGGCATTCGGTCCCCCATTAAAACAATTTTATGTCCAGAAGAATAATGAAATAAAAATATTAAAATAACTATTCAGAAGAATTCGTAATGGTTCCTTAGGTTCGTTATTTATTTGTTTTCTTACAAAGAAAACATTATATTTGGAAAAAGGAGTCGAAATTTTTTATAGTGATTGGAATGGCAAACAAGCTGAAAATATTTTTATTTTTATTTTAACTTTCGTGTTTAATATACATTATTTATATTATTAACCGGGTCTTAAGCTGAAAATGTTAAGTAGTAACAATCGCATATATATATGGACAACACAACTATGTTGCTATTTAGGAGGACTAACTAACGACTAACTCTGTAATCCACTGAATATCTCCATCAATTATTAACTTAATTCTGTTATTAATTATCTGTATTAAGTTATTAATGATTTAATATATTACGAATGTGGTACAACTGAAATACTAAGTCATAATTTGTAAATCGCGGCAACTTTTAAGTGAAACGAAACGTTAATGAAACTGTCACCAACTCCATGCTACAGCGCACATGGTATAAGTACCGTACAGAAAATGTACTTACATAAATAATGTTTTCCTTGAACCGTTTCCTAAGGTTGTCAATGAAGGCAGCTTCAGAACGGTAATCTTCAAGCAGGACGAAGTCTTGCACTCCCACTCTCTCCCTATGCTGGAGGGCGTGCTCCATGTTGCCGTAGATGGAGAGTGGTCGCTGGAGCCTGCCACAAAAGAGTCAACATTAAAAAAAATATAGACGCGTAATCTGGCCACGAGAAAATCAACTTCGAACATATTATCAAAAATAATTCAAATACTACTGATGAGATATTGATAAAATTCGTAAATGACCACATGAAAGGCATCAGCTTTCAAATAAAAAATATTTAAAATCCGTTCATCAAGAAAAAATATAATAATGCACATAAAAAATAGAGTCAAATTCAGTACTTTTTCAAGTCGGTTTAAGGGATTTACTACCTAGTCATACACTCTAATACCTGGGTAGTTTGAAACATAACAATAATGCTATAGAATGTAGAATATAGGATCAATGCTATAGAAAGTATACGAGGATTAATGTTAGGACACTTGATACGACACGATGAATTTATGAAAGTAATTATTGAGGGAAAGATTGAAGGAAAGAGGGGGAGAGGAAGACCAAGGCACAGTTACATCAAGCAAATTAAAGACAGAATTGGAGTCGTATCAAAGATTAAAGAGTATGATGGAACATCGTAGAAAGTGGCAAGAGCTCCACCGACAAGAGCGTTGTTCTTAATTTTATGAATGAATTAACATAACAATAACCTACACAGAATACCTCTTTTTCGAAGTCATTTGACAGTACAGTAAAATTAAGTTATGGGGGAATAGTTACCTACTCAAAGTTAAGGGAGATAATGGGTTTTACATGCAGAGCCGCAGGAAATGACTAATTGTATCAGCGAGTAAATAAATATGACTATGTTTTCATTTTAGGTTACCTAACGAGTGTTTAAATGCATAATATTCATAATTTTATAAATAACAAAAAAAAAGGAAAATGGTCGCTATGTTCTGATATTTCGATACTATTTGAGAAAAATAATGATATAAATATAGATAACAATAATTAATGACATATAATAATTTGTAATTATAAAATCTTTAAGAATAATCGTACCTATATATATATGTATATACTCGTATAATTACATACGTTCCTTAGTTAAGTTCATTTCTGTTATTCCTTGCTAATATAAATTTCTTAGATAACAACCGTAATATTAAAAAAAAATATATATTCTTATACTTAAATTTCCTTATGTTAAGTTTAATTTAATTTTCTATCCTGTTTATTACAAAATGTTACAACAAAATGTTAACAACAAGTACGTATATAGGCAAACAGCCTTTAGTAAACAATTTCTAAGTTTAAAGCACTAAAGTAGCTAGTGAAAAACTATATATAAAATAAGTTACAAAAGCTTACCGCAAACTCTCTATTCTGTACAACATAGCACCGTCACTTCCGTAACCCATAATTGCTATAGCTTTTAGTGTTATTTATTCTATAATATTACACCTAATCTTTTTAAGAAACACAATTCGACTGGACTAACCGTATAGCATAACTTTAAGTTATATATGCGTAGGTACCTAAGTAACTTTGATAATTATGTTCCTTTATTTATGTACTTAGTGAGCTAGGTACGTTGTGGACCATACACAACAAAGTCATTAGTCTAATGACACTTAATGTCCCAAGAAAATAAAAATACAATTAATTAAAAACGAGTAACCGAAAATAAAAGAAAGTAATAAATTTACAACAAACCTAATTAAAAGTGTAGAAATAATAGAAATATTTATGAGTTTATTAGATAATGATTATTACGTTTTTAGTATGATTATAATTTTTTAATTACTTGCTACGCGCCCCGGTTTCTCACGGTGTATACATGTATTATACATACAAGTATAAACCTTCTACTTTAATCATTCTATCTATTGCTAAAAACGGAATTAAAATCAGTTGCGTAGTTTAAAAAATCTAAGCTAATAGACAGCGGATGCTACTTCTTTTAGTAATATGTAAGTATGATATTTATTTTTTTTAATAACAACAATTATATTCACATGTCTTTTCTCCTATTTAGCCTTTTAAATATTTACGAAAAATTTTCAACCGCAGCCATTACTTGAATGAACAAGATTTAGGAAGGAAGTCGAAAAGTTAAGAAGTAGTAACGAGGAAAAGAATATAACTTGATAATAAATTTATTTTAATTCAATAAGAAAGTTTGACTCATTTCCAAAAGTATATACCAGCAGCTTTCTTTGTATTTAATGAGATAAAAGCCAATTTTGTTTTGTTTTTTATTAATGCTTACGTGTATCGAATAAACATATTTTCTTCTGCTTTCTTCCTTCTATGTCCGACCTCTCGATACAACCTACTATCATGTTTTTAATACGATTCGTTCAACCGTAAAGGTAATAAACAAAACACTTTCGTATTTATGATATTAATATATTAGTTTCAACATTACTTGACAATAATAGGTTTCTTGGTAATTGTCAAGCTAAATCCATACTACCATAGAATATATATCTATAATATATATCATATCTTACTAATATTATAAACGCTAATGTTTGTGAGTATGGATGAATGTTTGTTATTCTTTCACGCAAAAATTACTGGACGGATTTTAATGAAAGTTTACAGTAATATAGCTTATACATCAGAGTAACATACATATAAATATCATGCTGGCGAATCCGCGGTCACAGGTAGTATATCATTTATATATAGCACTATAAATTTTATTATTATCGCCCTTCCTTAGCTGTAGTAGTGGGTACTTAAGAAGATTAATATATTCTCATACAATAGTCCATTAACAGTTACCTACCGGTGCGGACATCCGCCTACGTCCATCCTTTGACTAGTGATCAGGGATGCCAATAATATTAATAATAATACCAGGACAATTCACACAACGCCATCTAGTCCCAAGTTAAGATTCCTATAGCATACGTTATATATAGCAACACCCAGACAGATACAAACAAATATAATAAGTACAAATATGAGAATGTTTTGATCCTCTTGACAAGATTTTGAATTACGAAAATCGGTCAAAATACTATGAAGAAATAGAAATACGCTGTATTCAAATAAACTTAATATAAGCAGCTTTGAATCGTCATATTTTTTTATTCTACCACTGATATGAAACGCAGATTTATCACACGAAAAATTTACATGTTGCTCTCTTAAATAAATGTTGTTCTAAATAAATACACATTCCTAAGGATTAGGACTGCGACAATCAATAAAGAAACCGCTAGGCACGCAATGTTTGTGCAATAAAATATATCACATTGATCAGCACTATGAATTTTAAGTTATTACAAAAATATTATTGTCATTTATTAATTCTTCAATTTTATAATAAATTATTCTTACAAAGAAAGTGTTTTAAAAGATATTTGAAACCTTTTTTCTGGTAGATTTAGAACCTACTTTGGTACTTTGTTGTAAAACCTTAAAATGATAATAATTTATATAACTTTACTAATACGTCTTTATTATTATTACTAGGTTGGATATTTTTAAGATTTTAGTTTAATTCTCCGTTCAAGGCTAATGGTTTAAGTTGACAACCCTGCCAGTGATTGATGCTAGCATGTATAGAAATGCACATCATAAGTGAATATAAACATTTATTTTGTCTATACTAATCTTTTTATATAAATATAAAGTTCTCGTGTCAAAGTGTTTGTAACATAACATCTCCGAAGATGAAATTTTGTGTATATTTTCAGTGGGTCTGAAAGTAGGACGTAAGCATATTTATTATACTCATAAGTGATGATTGTGATCTTATCACTTAGGAGCTGGTCCACACCAAAATTTTTGTAACATTTTTTTCACTTGCGAGGAGACAGTGGGAGATGATGTGATGATCACGACATCAGATTTTACAAGCTATGTATCGGTTCAAAGAGCGAGATATGCCTTAAGATGTTATGTCCGTTATACATATACATCTTTATTTTTGTATTTGTGTATTAAATATTTAATAAATAAATAAATATGGCAGTAATTTGAGAGCACGGATGTTTAACACTTTCACAAGGCAATGCTTGAGTTTTATCATGAACATCACACGGCGATATGGTGTCAGTACCACCGCTGAGCAAATAATAATTACGTTTAGGTATGTCTTTCTACCAAATAGACCGTCAGGTTATCATTCCAGTTACATAAAAAACCATAAACAATATTATATTTTTGAATAACGAATAAATGCCTAAGCTAAAAATGAATAATGGTTTTATCCAATCCACGACCGTGACACATTTGATATTTAGTCCCTCTGCGGCTACTAAATTGCTAAGCGTTTTGATATTTGTAGATAATGTCAACGCCGCGAAATATCACAGTATGTCGCAAGTTTCACGTAATAACAATAGGGAATATGGCGCGAAATTAGACGTAGGTGGCGCCATCTATTTATCGACGGAAGAAAGCGAAATTGTCGTTATTTGAAATAACGAACCTTACAGTTCTTATCGAGATAGAAAGTTGAACATTGTTTGAAAAAGAAATACAAATTTTCAAATTTCTATCCTGTAAGGTAACCGAAGCCAATATTTTTATTGTAATTTGTCACGAGCAAACAAAGGATTATATAAGTTACGAAACAGATTATTAATTACTGTTATACATGTGTAAGTATAAGAATCAAATTACATTGGAAATGGTGCCTTGAAGCATTGGAAAGAAGGTGCTAAGTTATCTCTAAGAGAAATCCCATCTCTATAGAGGACGGGTGACTATTTTTAATCAGACCAAAAGCTTGTTTCCCGATCCTGTACAAAAATATGATAGCACGTACATAATTCATGACCGCAAACTATTTCCACTATCACACAACTGTTTTTCCTTATAATGGACAATGTTTCTTTATGATGTCATCACTACAAATAGGCACAGACCCACACTGTATACATCCATATTCAGATAGCAGTATGACAATGGCCTTTAGTATACATGATTAAACTTTATTTAATTTATTATCTAACACGTAGGTATATTTTATTTTACTTTTAATAAGTTATATTCTATTATCTGTGCTTTTATTATATTTATTTGAGATATTTGCGATATTTATGTAAGAATTTTGCTACATGAATTTTACCGGGGAGATTACCCCTGACTCAC